TGTTTCCTGTAGTTCCCTTGCCACGGGTCCTGCCTTGTTTACCCAGCCACTTACAAATTCTCTGTTAGGGCTAAGGCATTCCTCTAGGTAGCCCTAGTATATAGAATGCCTTATAAGAAACCCAATATAGCTCCTTCCAATGGGATCCACTTCTGGCCCATGAGAAATTCATCTTCATTTGCCCCGATGGGAAGTATAGGCTATTCCCAAATTCCCCTTTCCTTATCTGGCTGTCAGAGCAGCAAGTCTCCTGCTCCTGCTGTATGCTCTCACCCCCACCCCTGGTACCAGCCTTGGTGTTTCTTAAATATGCCAAGATTTTTGATGCTCTCTCAAAGTGCCCACCTTCTCCCTTGTTTGCCTTGAGAAGAGAAGTACACCATCCAAATGAGTGGAGTGCTGATGGCAAAACCAGTTAGGGATATTCTCTTTGTAAGTCCCACACAGTCAACTACCTCACCTTATACCATGACTGTCTTTGCTCCCTATTGTTTGTTCGGTACTTTGGGGGCCTCTGCTCAAAGCAGGAAACAACAGGAAGAGTACCATCTAACAACCTATTACACATATCATGGCCTCAGTCTATTTTTTCAAATTTTTTATCTTGGGGCTTAAGGCAGCCCAGGATATTCACGGGCCACATGGGCTGGGGAAGTGTTGTGTGTCCAGGGAATATGAGGCTGAGGCTGGGTTGTTCACTTAGTGGCTAAAAGCAGATATGAGCTCAGGTTTTGGTGCAAATGATTAAGAAAGAGCCACGGTCATACTGGGTGAGTGTTATCAGTTATCAGGAGCAAAGGACAAGACAAACATGGGAGATGAGTAAACCCGTTAGAAGCTGAGGAGGTCAAGATCACATTGGGAAGGGGGTGGGGCAGTCATGAGCTTCTCATTACTATGCTCTAGTTTGCTGGCATTGGCCACTCAGCAGACAGGGGGCATGGTAAGCTGTTTGAAAGCACAAGGTGGGCATGGACAGTGCCATTTTAAATTGCTCAGGAGCCAATAAGATGAGCCTTTTACTTTTTAAATCAAATTCCCTACTAATTGTACCTCCAACAATAAAAAAGGAAGTGACACTCAAGTGAGATCATTTTCAAAATAAGCACCAATTTGGTGTCCAGCATGGGACAGAGAGAGTGCTAAGAGGATACCAGAGAAGTGCAATTAGATTTGGTATCTCTAGTTTAACAAATACCTGCCCTAATTAGATAACCAGTTTTGTCTATAACATGATTTCCTTGAGGGCAGGCTCCATACCTTTTGCAGTACTCCCACAATACCTCCACACTGGTAGATACCAAGTGGATACTCAATGATATCTGATTTACTAAAAGCTTTTTTTTTCTTATTTAAAACCTTTATGATTGCATCACATACAAATTAAAAATACAAACTCTCTTGCCTAGTTTCCAAAGCACACTTTAATCTCACCAGAACTCACCTGACCTGTCCTATTTCCCACTGCTTCTCTACATATGTGCTGTGCTCTGCCAAACCAGTTTTATACTTACTTCTGAACACACCTTTTTCTCTTGGTCATAACATTTGCATTCAGAAAAAAATTTCCCTCCCTTATCGAAATCCTACCCATCATTAAAATCAAGCTCAGATTCCACCTCTTTTAAAATCTTCTTTGTCAGTATCTACCTGAAGAGATCATTCCCTTACACTTTGGTCTATGCTCTCAAAGACATGGCAATGAGTGACCATCAAACACTGCCTAGGGAATGCCTATTCCATGGATGTTTGAAACTTGTATTCAAATTTCTGCAAATATCCTACTCCTGTAAGTTGCCAGTAAACCCCTTGAAATCTAGGACTTGATTGTACATAACAACCCTTGATACCTTAGATATCTCAGAAGCTCCCAAAGTTTATGACTTCCATGATAGCATATGATTTATCACATAAAATGTAGTAAAGTTCAAATTCAAAAGAGGTTTCTTATATACAATAATTTTTTTTAATTGTGAGCTTCAATCCATTTAACCACATCTTAGAAGCAAATCAAATCAACAAACATTTATCAAGCTGACCATGTGCCCAGTATTCTGGTAAGTACTGCAGAGAATATGATATACAGTAAACTCTTGTGAGAGTCTGAGTATACTAATGAACAATGGCCAGAGCATATATAAAAACAGAACTCTGATCTACAACCTCTGCACCTACTAGTATCAACCTCAAATGGTCATGATTTGGTCAATACACTGCTTAGTTTTTATCCCATTTCCAACTTAGGATCAACCAAAGAAAGCCAAATATGTACCCCAAACCAACCACATAGGATACCTTGCTTCCAGCAAACCTGCCTCCAGCTTCTCTCCAGGTCAACAACATGAAATCAGCACACACCTGAAGTCTTTTCTCCTTTCCACTATAAAGAATTTATATTCCCCTGCCTGCTGTTGAGTATCCACAAGTGATGGTGGCTGACTGCCTTGCTATAATAAGCTTTGAATAATCTTTGCTTGTTCTCATGTGGGTGTTCTTCACTTATTTCCACTCTTGGAATTTACATTATTATTATAGGTGGTTTCAATTACTAATTTAGAGACTCCAAAGACTTATGATATTGCCATTTGTCATTTTACTAGGGCTTGAATTTGAAATGTAGTCTTTGAGACCAGCATCTGGGAGAGTTAGCTAGTGACTGCCCTATACAACACACAAGTTTGCTTTCACATCCATACTGTGGCATATGTACTTTACCGGGAAAATTATATTCTCTAGAGTACATTTCGGGAGAATCTTTTGAAGATATCAGACTTAATACCTGATGAATGTTAAGGATCTATTATGGAAAGATTTCAAAAGAATGACTGACTTTGAAGAGTAAAAAAGAAAATTAGTAACATTAAAAGATCAAGTCTATGAGACTAAAAAAATAGTGCTACAAACTGACAGAAATGGAAACTCAAGAAAGGAATTAGGTATAAGGAAAAGATCAAGAGAGAAAGCAGGATGTTCAAGTTCATTCAGCAAATACTGATTGCCAAATCTGTGCTAGGCACTATTCTATTAATAGATGTTGGGAATAATAGTGAAGAACAAAACAGACCAAAATCCCTGCTCTTATAGAACTTATATTTTGAAAATGTACAGTTGAGATTTGATGAGGAGAGAAAGGTAATACATGTTTATAAGACTTATGCATATTGAAATAAGAAAGACTTTGAAGTTACTGAAGATTCAGCCTTGGGCAAGATATATACACAGGGACACAAAAAAAGGAATGTCTGACATGGTCAGGATGGTACCACACACAGAAAACCCACCAAGGTCTATTGTTACAGAGTAGTCTGGCGGAATTTCCCTCAAAGAGACCAGAGGAAAAATGCTAATGGAAGATTTAAACTGTTTTGACACTACTTGAAACAGTTTCCTCAGAATTACTTTATCTATCACAAGAATATCTGCAGCATTATCCGTTAGCAGATGGTCTGGAAACAGGTGGTAATAATGGTAACTAACATTTACACACATTTACAAAGTGCTATCATTGCATTATTTTTATTGAGAAACCCATATTTATATTATTATGGGCACAGCAGAGATTAGAATAATCCTTAAGACTACATGACAAATTATAGTCAATAAGAATTAGAACCCAGATTTGCTGACTCTTAGATCTTGAGAGATTTATAATGCTATTATTTTTTCAGACTATATATCATATATGTACCACAAAAAATTCTTAAGCATATTATTAGTCTGACACCCTAAAGAATGTTAATAAAAGAATAAACTGGTAATGGAATAATTTGATTAATGTCTCAACCAAATTTCCCCCAAGTAGCAACACCAAGTAGATGGTTAGGATTTTTCTACTCTGCGCAATAGGTTTCTGAATGATTTGTTAGCGGTGCTTGACGTCGATAGTTTATTAGACACTGATTTGATCAATTAAAAAATGTTCCTTGGTATTATTTTACTAGTCATTAAAGGGCTACATCGTAACTATAGGAGTAAGAAAATGTAATTTCTTCACACTGTCTAAAGTGATAAACATGCACTTTTGGTAGACAACTCCAGTAAAATTACAGAACCCTTTAGTTTCGTTTTTATTTTCTAAATACAAATCAGGATGACAAGCCTTCTTTCTAATGGAATATTCAAGATATTTAAGGAAAATACCTATAGTTTAATAATTGACAACCCATTTTTAGAGTTCTGACTACATGCCATAAATTGATCTAAGCCCTTCACATATGTAAGCTTATGTAATCTTGGCATACACACAAAAAACCAGAAGAGGCAGGTACTATCTTATCATCTCCTTTTCTAGATAAGGAAACTCAATACGTATTAGGTGAGGGTCAGGGAAGTGAAGTACTCTGCCTAGGACACAGCTTGTAACCCCAAGAGCAGGGATCTAGTTTATTTATTTATTTTTTTGATAAAAAGTCTTACTCTGTTGTCCAGGCTGGAGTGCCCTCCCGTCAGCCTAGCTCACAGCAACCTCACACTCCTGGGCTCAAGCAATCCTCCTGCCTCAGTCTCCCGAGTAGCTGGGACTACAGGCACACGCAACCACGCCCGGCTAATACTGTCTATATTTAGTTGCCCGGCTCATTTTTTTCTATTTTTTAGTAGAGACGGGGTCTTGCTCTTGCTCAGTCTGGTCTGGAGCTCCTGACCTCAAGCGATTCTCCACCTGTCTCTCAGAATGCTAGGATTACAGGCGTGCGCGACCACGCCCCGCCTGGGATGTAGTTTATTTACAAAATGCTCCCAGAGTCAAAAGTACTCCAAACTACTTTGCCTTCGGTCCTCTCCTCGAGAAAGGAATATCGAAAGTTTCCTCTCCGAACTTTGTAAGAAACGGAGCTGCTAGCTTTCGTTCCAGGCAGTCCATCTGGGAGGTTTGGCTACCTCTTGTCCTTCGCTCTGCCCCAAACACCCCGCTCACTTCCCTCTTCTCCCTCCACCTCGTGCTGCTTCCCTCCCTCCTATCTCCACTGCTCTTTCGCATTACCGCGTTATCTGCTTGCTCGGTGCCCAGCGTTTCGCGCTAGTCCACTCCGCCAGGCCAAAGCACGCCGGAGACGCGCCCAGGCACAGTACCCCGTCGCGTCGCCGTGACGTAATCCGCGCGCCGCCGCCGCCTACGGGTCGGAGGGCGGGACGGCAGGGCTGGCCGGCCGGGGGCGGGGCCGGGGCCAGGGCCGAGCTCCGGGCCTCCGCGGCCATCGCTGTCTGAGCGGTGCCTTCCCCTCGTCCGCTCCCCGCCCCCCTGGGCCGAGTGGAGTTGGGTGGTGTCGGTGGCCTCACCCTGTGGGGCACGGCAGCTTCAGGAGCTGGGCTTCCAGCGCGGCGCGATGGCTCCGTGAGGCCGAGGCCGCGGCCGTGGCGCTGGGCGGCTGCGGGGCCTGGCCGGTTCTGCTCATGGTGCCGCCACGACGCCATCGCGGGGCAGGAAGGCCAGGTAGGCTGGCACGGAAGGGCCCCGAAATCACCCGGAGCCCGGACCGGGACAGAGTGCCCACCAGCAGCCCCACCGCCAGCCCTTGGTGGCAGTCGAAGTTCCCGGACCGAGACGGGGACGGTCTCTAGGGGCGGAGTGAGCGGGAGGCTGACAGGGGCGTCGGAGCCCGGTGCAGACTCGGGCAATTGAGGAAGCTGCCCGTGCGCCGTCGCTTCGGCTTTATCTCCCTGGCGAGGCGTCACTGACTTCAGCTTTTTTTCCTCCCTCTAAAAAAGGAGGCGGATGCCTTTTAACAGCTGTGTGTTCACTCCCCTTGTGAATTACTCTTTCGATCTAAAATAACTCGATGCAGTGACAGGGTCGGGTGGGGGAGAGTGGAGGATTCTTTTCCTTTACCACGTGAGCAGATTGGAAAGGTGCCCTCAAGACCCACAACAAATCGCTGCCTCTCAAATAACAAAATTCCACTCGAGGAGATCAGGGACAGAAAAGACACTTTTAGAAACAGGCGTGTGTCTAGACACTGTCCCTGGGGTGGATACCTCTGGAGGGAGAGGAGAATGGAGTTCTGTATTTGTGAAACCCGGAGAAGCTGTTTTCCAGTAATTAACTATTCTTAAATATGCCGTATGTTGAATATAGTTTCCCCCCCACCCCCTGTACTGTGTCCCTCTCTGAGTATTAATCTGAAGTGCGCAATGGATAACATGAAAGTCTCGAGAAAGGTGTCAATTATATTTAACACATTCTGATATTTTCTTTCATTTACTTTCAGTTTGAAGGTGAAGAGTGAAAAAATGTAATGAATCTTACCTCGAGTTGTTGATGTTTTCAGAAGCATCATTTTGTGGTTGTTTTTAGGTGTGCTGAGTTCCTCACCTCCTTTTAGACTGGGATCTGCCAAGTTTTCAGGCATTGCTCTTGAAGATCTCAGAAAGGCCCTTAACACAAGGTAAATTCCACACTTTTATATACTGTGTAACTTTCATACTGAACGTTAGCTAACAAATGTCAGATGTTTCTCTTACACTTCTTTTCTCATTTTTATATGGTTATCTTTTTAAAAAGATTCTCTAATGTGATCTGTATTTTCTAAAAAACAGACTGCAAATGGTGTGTGTATTTATCATGAACCGAATGAATTCCCAGAACAGTGGTTTCACTCAGCGCAGGCGAATGACTCTTGGGATTGTTATTCTCCTACTTGTTGATGTGATATGGGTTGCCTCCTCAGAACTTACTTCGGTATGTACCTCTTATCCACGAATGATATTGTACTATAGTACTAGTATTACTGTTAACCTGTAGTATGTCTAGCCATTACTAACTGATGCTTACTAAAAGCAGTACTTTAAATATTGTTAAATTATGTTTTGTTTGGTTTTGTCTTTCAATTCTTTTTTATTTTATTTCAAGAAAATATGAAAGTATGAACATTTTGGTTACATTTTATATCCTTGCCTCTCTCTAGCTAGGGCTGGAGGTATGCCCTTCACCTCCACAATGCTCACCATATTCATCTGATGTGGGTCTACCCCCCCAACCCGGGAATCCCTGGTGAACACCACCACCCTTTGAGCACCATGGTGTTAATCAGTCAGTACCATGATTTTGAATTAGTGTCACTTTAAGTTAAAACTGAAAGGATGCTCTTTGTTGTCATTGTATAGTTTTCTTGTATCTTTTTAGGGAGGATTACTTAGACTATGTACATGTTTTCTTAATATTTGAAAGTGTTTTGGCTTTTTTTCTAAATTCAGTTTCTTTCTGTAAATATTATTTTGTAGTGAAACAACTATCTAGAATGGGCAAAACAATCTGTCATCATTTAGTAGAAAGTAAGAGTGCATTTAGACAAATGAGTAATAGTAATAAGAGTTTTCATGTACTGGTCATTATGATGTCCATTTCTGGATACAGGCACATTTGTATGTGTGCCGACTCAACCTTTATTATGAAGTGCATGGTATACAATGATAATCTTCAGTTAAATTTTGTCTATTGATGACCTATTGATAATAATGTGATATTTTGATTCACAAGCTAGTTTTTCTTTCCACTTGTATACTTTATTCTGTTTGGTCAGTGATCCCTGTTAAAAGACAGAAATGACTGCCTTTCAGCTTATATGTTGCAATCTTAAGGCAAATGTACAGAAGGAAACTAGCACTTATAAAATGAATTTAAATGTCAAAAGAAGTAGTTTGATACTGCAGGTCTTCTCATATTATAGCTAAGTAAATAGTTGACACTGACATTGTATCCTATGAATAAATAGTTCTTTAGCCTTTCCAAAATTAGGCTCTGGAATACAATAGGTCATTTATTAAATTCTTTGGTATATTCTTTTAGATTAACATTTTGTAGTTTTACCTCAAAGAAATCTCTTTGATTTTGACATGGAACTAAACCTGTATTTTAAATTTTCTTTTCTTTTTTATTTTTCTTTTTGAGACGGAGTGTCACTCTGTCACCTGGGTTAGAGTACAGTGGCATCATCATAGCTCACTACAACCTCAAACTCCTAGGCTCAAATGATCCTCCTGCATCAGCCTCCCAAGTAACTGCGACTATAGGTGTGTGCCACTGTGCCAGGCTGATTTTTCAATTTTTGTAGAGATGGGGTCTCACTCTTGCTCAGGCTGGTGTTGAGCTCTTGAGCTCAAGTAATTCTCCAGCCTTGGCCTCCGAGAGTGCTAGGATTACAGGCATGAGCCACCACACCTGGCCTTATTTTAGTTTTAAATAAATAGATTGTTTTTTTTATTTATCAGGTAATAAAATTTAGGACATTAGCTGTTCCACACAGTGTATTCATATTTCAAAACTATAGGTTGTTCACCATATACATATATACACACACACACAATTTTATTTGTCAATTAAAAATAAATTTTAAAATTCTCATCTTCCATATTAGATAGAAAGTTTATAGATAATGCTTAAAAATTTATGAATAAAAGAAATAGCATTTTAAGGATATCATTTAGAAATATGAAGGCAAATACTCAAGGAAATATTAAAAGAGTAAAAGCTGGGGATAGGAACGGGGAGGGTGAGAAAGGACAGGGCAAGGTACAGTGTTTTTCATTGTAAGTCTTATAGTATTATTTGATTTCTTAAACCATATGAATGTATTACATTGATGAAAATAAAAATTACTTTAAGACAAATAAGGTTTAGGATAAAAGAGCACCCAATTACATTATAATTTAGCAATCCATATCTAAGCAAGGTAAAAAGAAAACCAACTTGTTATTTGTGGTAATCATTTCACAGTATATACATATATTAATCACCACATTGTACATGGTAAATATACTCAGTTTTTGTCAGTTATACTTCACTATAGCTGGGGAAAAACAACTTGTCTTTATTTTTAAAAAGTAAAATATTTTAATTAGCTAGGAGTGGTGGTGTGTGTTTGTAGTCCCAGCAGCTATTTGGGAGGCTGAGGTAGGAAGATTACTTGAGCCCAGGAGTTTGAGGTTGCTGTGAACTAGGCTGATGTCACAGCACTCTAGCCCAGGTGACAGAGCAAGACTCTGTCTCAAAAAGAAAAAAAAAGTAAAATCTTTAATGAGAGGGTATATTATAATTTCATTATCCAAGAGCATATATAATGTGTCTGGTTCTTCAGCCAGATATGCTCATCAGACTTTTGATGTATTATGTATTTCAAAAAGAAAATCAATCTTTTTATTAGGGAAATTTTCTAATATATACAAAGTGAAGAGAATGGTGTAATGAATCTCCGTGTATCTGTTACTTACCTTTAACAATTATCAAATTTTGCTGATCTTGTCAACCCCTCCCCTAAACTTTTTTTTCCTGGAGTATTTTAAAGCTATGTCATATGTCATTTCACTCATAATTTCTTTCCTATTCACTTTAAACTGAAAACAACTTTTAATTTTTAAACATAATCCTTATGCCATTATTATATCTAACAAAATTAACTGTAATTCTAAGATCATCTGTTATCCAGTCTGTATTGAAATTTCCCCAGGTGTATCAAGGACATCTGGTTTTTTTTAAAAAGATTTGTTAGGATCTATTGCATTTGTTATATCTTTTAAGCCACTGTTATTCCTTAACTGTATTCCTTCTTTTTTTTTTTTTTCTTTTCATGTCATTGTTTTGTTGGAGAAACTTAGTCACACATTCTAGATTTACCTGATGGCTTCCTTGGGATATCATTTAACTTGTTCTTCTTTCTTTCTTATTTCTTGTAAATGGTAATTTGGTGTAAAGTCTTGATTTAGGTTTAGTTTTCAGGAAATACCCTGGTAGTACTGAGTACTTCCTATGTCATCTCAATATGAGGCATGTACTGGCTGCAAGTCTCACTTTGGGTGAAGCCAATTTAAGCACTATAAAGTTCTTCATCAACCTTTAGATAATGTTGAATATCCATGTGATTACTACCCTGATAGTGTATTCATTAGGGGTTAAAAAATGTTGATTTTTCTAAGGGTCATTCCTTCTGTGTTTATTAGCTGAAATTCTTTAAGGAGAACTTTTCTATAACTACTGTTTGGTCATCCTGAAGCATGGTTCATGTAAAGGTTGGCTAAAATTTGGATTTTCTTTTTCTTTATTTATTTTAGAATGGAGTTGCCTAGCAACTTCTGGTAGTAACCACTGAGAGAACATTTTTGAATATCATAATAAATTCATGAATTTTTATATATTTGATATATTTCAAACCATTGCAGTTATTATTCCTTGTAATGCTTAAACTCTTCTGTCATTGACTAGTGAGAGGCCCTTCAAATGGGCTCTAGGGTCCTTTTACTGTGACCTCATTAATCTTTAACATCTTATTTGCTTTCCAGCACAAGATGTCCCAGGCTCATCTTGTATATTATATTTCCTTCCCCATAACTGGATTTGGCCATTTTCTTCTAGGAGCCATTGTTTCTTTTAGTGTAAAATGGTATAGACTTTTCCCTTCCAAGTGAACTTTTAAAGAGTTAAAAATCCTGTAGTAGCTTTATTTTGGAGGTAAGTAGTAAGATTTAAGGTCATCTCATACTTGTCTATGTAACTTTTTCCTCTACAGTATGTTTTTACTCAGTACAACAAACCATTCTTCAGCACCTTTGCAAAAACATCTATGTTCGTTCTGTACCTTTTGGGTTTTATTATTTGGAAGCCATGGAGGCAACAGTGCACAAGAGGATTTCGAGGAAAGCATGCTGCTTTTGTAAGTTTTTAATTTTAAGTGTTTGTTGGGAAGAGGGTATATTTTTTCAGAGTTTAAAGATGTATTAATTTCTTTAAGGACAGTCAAGTTTGAAGTTGTTCAGTTAAGGGAATGAAGATGATATAAGAAAAACATTTTGTCCAAAATTTTAAATTTATTCTTCTGATCAACTTGGTATCAAAATATTTTGTGAGAATTCAAAAGCACATAATCACTTTCTTTGCCTTACCCTGTGACATCCTCTGAGTTGTTAAGAATTTTTGAATTAGCCCAAATCAAATAATGTAGAGAAGGAGATGAAAGTAAGGAATAGAAAGAATATCTAGAGTCTTTCTCATTTGCAGATTGGATAAGTATCATCAAATTAGTTGCTAAGTTGATTGTAGAAACAAAATAATTCAAAGTTTTATATGAAAATGAAAGCATATTTCAGGACATGTTTCAGATGCTTGGCTAATCAAATTATATTTTTTCATTGATGTATTAGGTTATTAAGTATGAAATGTCTGATTTCCTTAAGCATTAAGTTTGACAGTTGATATTTCTGACATTTCGTTTTGACACTTTTTATTGTGAAGATACATCCTCAGTCTTTCAAATACACAGTTTGGCTTTTGATTATCTTTCAAATTCATTTTTAGAGCAATTTTTGTGAAACCACTGGTAAGTCCAAAAAATTCATGTTATTTTCAAATATGAGTTCCATCATGAAACCAGTGCAGTGCAGGTATCAACAAAGTGTTTGGGAAGGATGTGGCTAATGAACGCACAGTACATTAATGGTTTGAGAAGTTCTGTTTTGGTGATTTTTAATCCGAAAATAAGCCACTTGGGCGACCTGAGACCACGGTGAATAATGATGAACTGAAAGCAATAGTGGAAGCGAATCTATCTCAAGCTACATGTGAATTAGCAGCAAGATTTGACATTACTATTTTAATAATATTCGACCATTTGAAACAAATCAGCAAGGTAAAGAAGTTGGATAGATGGGTACTGCGTGAATTAAATGAGCGTCAGAAGAGAAATCATCTCGAAGCTTGCTGTTCTTTGCTGTCAAGACATAAAGGTGAACTATTTCGATACCCCTCCTTGTTACATGTGATGAAAAATGGATTCTTTTTGACAATCACAAGCATTCAGTACAATGGCTGGATAAAGATGAAGTGCTGAAACACTGTTTAAAACCGAATATTCATCAACAAAAGCTAATGGTGTCAGTTTGGTGGTCTAGCACTGGTATTATCCACTACAGCTTCATGAAACCTGGCCAGTCAATTAGATAGTCCCCAACCTTTTTGGCACCAGGGACCGGTTTCATGGAAGACAATTTTTCCCAGATCCAGCATGGTGAGGTAGGGTATTGTGGGTGGCGGGGAGGTGGTGTGGAGCTCAGGTGGTGATACTCAGCCCATTTCCTAACAGGCCCCAAACTGGTACTGGACCGTGGATTGGGTGTTGAGAATTGTAGAATTACAGTAGATGTCTACTGCAACCAGTTGGATGAAATGATAAGGATGTTTGCAATTAAGTAGCTGAGATTGGTCAATAGAGACAGGCCAGTCCTTTTGCAAGATATTATGAATATCTTTCCATGTGAATAAATAAAATTATCATCATATTTGTCCGATTTTATTTAACTAACCCTTGATAGATTGTTTCTACTTTTAATTTTTATATAAGTAAATAGGAATATCGTTATACTCATCTGTAGTTATTTACTTAAATTCTGAAAAGCATGATATTATATAAAAGAGTAATTTTTTTAAAGTTTTTGATTATTACTGCTAAATTACCATCTGCAATGGTTACACTAATTCGTATCTCTGTTAGCAATATGATTAAACACTTATTAAACAATAAATGTTATGATTAAATCCTTACCCAAATCCCAACATTTGGCAAGTTGATAGGTATTTAATTTGCATTTCTTAAATTACTTTTTCATATATTCATTGGATAATAGAATTCTTTTGTATATTGTCTATGTCTTGTCCATTTTTCTACATTGACTCCCTCTTTTTGTTATTGATATATAAAGGTTCTTTCATAGCATGGGCTCTACTATTTGAATCTTGTTCTATCTCTTGCCAATTTTGTGATCTTGGACAAGTTATTTAAACTCTTCAGATTTTCAGCAGAGGTAATGTGATAGGCTAGCTGTTGGTATGAAATGAAATCATACTTATGTAGCATTAGCACAGTGGTTCTCAAAGTGTGGTTTAGGCCCTGAGATCCATTCAGAAGGTTCTTGAGATCAAAACTATTTTCAGGATAATACTGAGATGTTACTTGCCTTTTTAAGTAACTCACTTACCCATTCTTTCCTTACTTATCTGAAATGTTACAATAGTGTTGTAAAAAGGGCATATGCTTTGACGTTAGACTAATTTGGGTTTTAATCCCAGCTCTCAGGATTAAGAAATCTCTTAGCCTCTATTTCCTCATCAATAAAATAAAGATAATAATACCTACTTTACATTGTTGAATACTTTGCATTAGCTGCTGCTATTGTTATAAATAATAGTTATATTCTTATAGATTGACTCTGGAGTTTTGGTTTTATTCTTTTGAGTTACATCTGACTAGTCTTATGAGTTTAATTTAATTTTATGTTCCATTATCTGTATTTAGTTTGCAGATGCTGAAGGCTACTTTGCTGCTTGCACAACAGATACAACTATGAATAGTTCTTTGGTAAGTGCTTCTTTTCTTGTCAGGAATGGAGCAGGTGGAGTTGAGCCATGGCAGAAAGAACTGAAACATCTTTGATGACCCCACAACTGTATGATGATACAGATATAGCTCAATATTGGTTGCCGACTATGAGAATTGTAATTTGGTACTTTCTTCTTTTGGATACCTGGGGCCTAGTGGTAACCAATTTAGCTACCTCTGAGAAAAGAGGGAGGGGAAAACTGGTTAAGGAGAGAAAATAGTAAAGGACAATCCTTTGTTTCTTAACAACTCTTTCACTTCAGACACATTATTATTATCATTAAAAAACAAATGTTTTTGTTTGGCACTGAGAATATATAAGCAAATTGTTCTTTTCTTTCCACAGATTTTTTAGAGTACCTAATATGTGTTAAGCACTTGTAGGCTCTAGAAATACAGTTATGTTCTAGTATACTGTGTGTGTGTGTGTGTGTGTGTGTGTGTGTGTGTGTGTGTGTTTGAGAGGGGGCAGGTAATAAGCAAACAAATAATTAACATATTCACTTATTTTAAGTATTTATAATCTAGTTGGAGAGATGATATCTAGAAATCTGTCATTTTTAGACATCACTAAGCCATCTCTTTAAAATGTAATTTTAATGACAATTCTTTTCCTTCCTTCCTTCCACGTTATCTTAGAAAAATTTTAAACTTACTGTAAAATTTAATATCAACTGTGAAGCATTCACTTGTGACCTTATTGACAGTACAGTTTTTTGTTTGTCTGGTTTTTAGGACTACGATTGCATGTAGGGTAGGCTACTAGGTACTACAGTTTCTTTTCTCTGGGATCTTAAGCATTGACAAGATAGTTTAATGTTATTTATTATTTGTCTCTGTCAGTGTGGAAGGCATAGTTGAGATGGCAGCTTACTCTTCTGACTATTCTTCTACTAATTGTTGCTATTATCTATAAGATGGATATGTCAAATTGCTATAGGCCAGATGCTGTAATGAAAAGTTCAATATAACAGAGAGACTATGTATATTTCTGGACTTATTGTCTATTCATTTACTGAATATTTATTATTGGAAGAATTCTATACTAGGAGTTAAAACACTAATCAAAGAAATAAAACAATTTTTTTCTCTTACTTTTAAAGAAACAGCCTAGTTGGAGATTTGTGCCTTAAATATAGATCATCTGAAAACATTTGCAAAAGCAGTTGAGGAATTTAGCACTACCTAAAAATAAGAACTTTTGGAGAATGGTTAGACAAACCTGGCTTTGATTCTTTTGTCTACCACTTGGTTATTTTATGTCTCAACTTCTAGAAAAGTTCTTTAAAATAGCTATTTTATAAAGTTACTGTGAGGACTAATGAAAAATGTATGTTTAACTGCTCTGAACTTGGTACCTAGTACATAGTAAGAACTGATATGTGGCAGCTATTTTTGTTGTTGTTGTTATTATCTATTAATCGTGCAAACGTTTTCAAGAATTTTAGTTTTTTGTTGAATATTCTATGACAAGAGGTAACAATTCAGTAAATATAAATACATGTTATATACCATCTGTTCATCATCTACCTTCCCCGTTAAATTATGTGATCATTGAGGGAGAGACTTTGACTTTATTCACCCTTTTATCCCTAGGACCTAGAACAGTGCTTGACATAGTAGGAGCTTATTATGTATTTGTAAAAAGAATGAATGAAAAGAAATGGGAGATAATCTATTAGCTGAGAGACAATCTGTTAGCTAAGAGAGAGATCTGTTTTTATTATATTTAAATATTAGATATCATAATGTGCCAATGCTATTATATTATATTTCTAAACTTTAAACTGATTCTTTTCTATTATTGTGCCTGTGTAGATCAGTAGAGTTTCCTTTTTAAGTCTTGAAAATGCTTTTGGGAATCTTAATGTTGTTTACATATGGTGTTCAACAACTGTGTTTTTCAGAATATCTGTGTCTACATACTAACTATTTAAATGTTAGCCAGTACATTAGCTTTTATACTTCCTGTTTATATTTATTTCTATTACATTCCAGAGTGAACCTCTGTATGTTCCTGTGAAATTTCATGATCTTCCAAGTGAAAAACCTGAGGGCACAAACATCGATACTGAAAAAAGTGAGCAAAACTTAAAATTCCATAACTTAAAAATGGCTGGAAAATAATTTAGCTTTATTCAAGCTATCTCAAAACTTAGTGATTATGTGGGTTGACTGGAATCATATGATAGTTTTTCTGTTCCATGAGGTGTTGGCTCGGCCTGTAGTCTTCTGGAAATTTGATGGTATTGTGAATCTGATATAATTATTTTTATATTAATTCAACTGGAAATAATTTCCAAATTCCAGAAATCTCTATGGTATAAAATATATATATATAATATATGTAAGATGTATATTTTATATATATATAATCTCTATGGTATGAAATATGTATATATACAATATATATGTATTTTTACAACATCTTCTTAACAATATCCTCTTAAACATGCCCTCAAAGACCCTAATAGCAGTTACAGAAGTTTTGCTGGTTCTGTGAATTTAGTGAAGAATGCCAACTTCAACATTATTTATTTATTTATTCATAGTATTTATTCATACTTTCTCTTGCAAAGAATTGACCTGTAGAGGAATGTTCTGCATGCTTGCCCAGGAAAATAATTCTAATAAATTGTGTATCCATGAGGAAAAATCCAAATAAAGTTTAATTAGAAATACTAAAATAATAATTATACCAAAATCCTGAACTAGGCAGTTGTGTATATGCAGTACACAATTGTAGAAGCCTTGTTTGAATATTGGTCTCATTTTAAACCCTTTAAAACATTTTTTTCCTGTTAACTCTTGAGTGAGCAAAGCTGCCCCAGGTAATAATATAACTCTGGTTTTCTTTGACTGCCTTACTCTGATCATAAATGAATTGAATAATATGCATTTATCAATAAATTAAAACTTGTGACTTTTGTTGGAGGGGACACATTTAATGGTTTTGTACCATGCTTTTCCTTTTAAGCTCCCAAAAAGTCTCGAGTAAGGTTCAGTAATATCATGGAGATTCGACAGCTTCCATCAAGCCATGCGTTGGAAGCGAAGTTGTCCCGTATGTCACATCCTACTGTGAAAGAACAAGAATCCATACTGAAAACTGTGGGGAAACTGACAGCAACTCAAGTAGCAAAAATTAGCTTTTTTTTTTGCTTTGTGGTAGGTCTTCTCTTTATAATATGTTTGGAGCTTGAATTTTAAGACAGTAAATATACCAATAATATAGTATCAAAGTGTGAACTGATTAGATTGTTTAATTGTAACTTTAACCTCTGCTATCTGGCATCATTGGGACGTTAGAGTATCAAAGTTAGTAAATGCTTGTCATAACTTAAGGAGTTAGAACTCACTAAGTGCTATAACACTCGATTATTCATATATATATATACAAATATATACCTGCATGCACATAATTTGGGAAGTTCTTAAGAATTTGGCATTGCCTCAGGGTCAGAATTATGAACAGAATTATTTTACTCTGATCCAAGTGCTAGTAAATATCCAAATAAGAGTTTACTATATGCATTGATTTCTCCAAATAGGTGTTTTTGCAGTTTTATATTAAATTCGTGTGAATGAAGTCAAGTATTATTTTAGCAAATACTCATAGTAAATATTTGTACAGAACTTCTTGTAGTGTTGTTGTGGCTTCTTCATTATTTTAATACAGGAACTGAAAAATGTGCTTAAGATTACACATAGAATAATGATAGAGTAAATGAAGTATTGTTATTTTGGGTTAAGCTGGGATTAGAGACTTGTCTGAGTTAGTTTGAACTCTAAAGTGTAGAATTTAAAAAATGAATGTCAATGCTATTTTAGGTATTTGAAGTAGCCTAATCTAAGATTGTTTAATATGGGCCTTTAAGGTTCAGATTTATACCAAGCATCTTAAAACATTATATAATGCAGTGCTAATGTCAGTATTGTTAGCCTGATTATAAGGTTTTTTTACTTCATGATTTTGCCTCTCATATTCATCGAATAGCCCATTCTTCTCCATCTCCTGGTGGAGAACTTTAGTTCTCTCCCCCTTTAGTGATAACTTAATGAATATATTCTGCTATGCACATTGAAAGGAAACCTTTGGGAGTTGTAATATGATAATTACATATGTAATAAAAGTAGTTTAAAGGCTCATATATTTGGATTATGTTATTAGTTGTGACTTCTGTTTGCTTGTTTTAAATGAATGGTAAGGCAGGACTCAAATTTATTAGCTATATGCTACCCAGTTTTCAAAGGAAACGTGTAAGAAAAGCATCTATAGTTGGCCGCTGAACAATTGCGGGGTGGGGCACCAATGCCCATGCAGTCAAAAATCCATGTATAACTTTTGACCCCTCCAAAATAATAATTAAGCTACTACCTTACTGGTGATCAGAAGCCTTACTGATAACATAAACAGTTGATTAACACATATTTTGTATTTATATGTATTATATACTGTATTCTTATAATAAAGTAAGCTAGATAAAATGTTATTAAGAAAATCATAAGGAAAAGAAAATATATTTACTGTTCATTAAGTGGAAGTGATCATAAAGGTCTTCATCATCATCTTCACTTTAAGTAGGCTGAGGAAGAAGAGGGGTTGGTCTTGCTGTCTCAGGGTGGTAGAGGTAGAAGAATATTTATGTATAAGTGGTTCCACGCATTTCAAACTCATGTTGTTCGATGACCAACTGTATATGGTAAAAGTTAAAAGAAGGGTGAAAAGATAAGAGCCAGATGAAATAGGTAATGGGGTGGGAGCTGGCCATGGCATGTGATCATTATATCAGGAACTTAAGTTTAAAAGAAGAAAGCTACTTCAGGTGAGCACACAACTCATCTGTAGGCAAAATGGCAGGAGGGCAAAAAGGAGAACCTAGGTGACATAGCTTATTGTCTGTGAAAAGGAAGTAACTCCTTTCTTTGGATAAAGCAAACTTCTTCCTAACTTAAAACTCTGAGAGAGAGCCGGGCGCGGTGGCTCACGCCTGTAATCCTAGCACTCTGGGAGGCTGAGGCGGGCGGATTGCTCGAGGTCAAGAGTTCGAAACCAGCCTGAGCAAGAGCGAGACCCCGTCTCTACTATAAATAGAAAGAAATTAATTGGCCAACTAATATATATATAAAAATTAGCCGGGCATGGTGGCGCATGCCTGTAGTCCCAGCTACTCGGGAGGCTGAGGCAGCAGGATTGCTTGAGCCCAGGAGTTTGAGGTTACTGTGAGCTAGGCTGACGCCACGGCACTCACTCTAGCCTGTGCAACAAAGCGAGACTCTGTTTCAAAAAAAAAAAAAAAACAACTCTGAGAGAGATGTGTTACATAAGTTCTTATGTAATTAAGCACTATTCTTTATAGCAGGTTTATAAATATGTGCAGATAATAGCCTTTTTAAGATGTATTTTTGAAATTATAATATAATATATTAATACATAACATAAAATTGACTATTTTGACCATTTTTAAGCATACAGTTAGTGGCATGAAGTACATTCACATTGTCATATGACTATCACCCCATCCATCCCCAGAAGTTTTTTCATTTTGCAAAATAGAAACTCTATCTATTAAATAGTAACTCCCTATTCCCCTCTCTCCTAGTGCCTGGCAACCACTGTTCTATTTTCTGTTGCTATGAATTTTACTCTAAGTACCTCATATGAGTGGAATCATACAGTATTTATTCTTTTGAGACGGGCTTATTTCACTTAGCATAATGTCCTCCAAGTTCATCCATGTTATAGCATATGTCAGAATTTCTTTCCTTTTGAAGGCTGAATAATATTTCATTATACGGATATGCCACATTTTGTTTATTCATTCCTCTGTTGTTAGATATTTGGGTTACTTCCACTGTTAATAGCCTTTGAAAAAAGATCAGCCCGAAATACATTGTGAAAGCAGAAAGCTATGTTAGTCTTTGGTAAAGGCTTTTCTATGGCAAGTCAGAGCAGCATAGTCCAGTCAGCCCCCCTGTATCTATGGGTTTCACATCTGTGGATTCAGCCAACTGCAGATTGAAAATATTTTTAAAAAATAAAAAATAACAATACAACAATAAATATGAATTGAAAAACAATACAGCATAACTGCATAGCATTTACATTGTATTAGGTATGGCAAGTAATTTAGAGATGATTTAATGCCTACAGGAGGATGTGCGTAGGTTATATGCAAATACTATGCCATTTATATCCTTATAAAATAAGGATACTTGAGTATCTGTGGATTTTGTTATCCCAGGGATGGTGGGGTCCTGGAATAGTTTTTGTGGATACCAAGGGACAACCAGCTTTTTGGAAACCTGACAAATAGAGTGTTAAACTTAGATAAGGCCAAGAGCAGTGCTGTTCAATAGAAGCATAACATGAGCCTCGAATACAGGCTACACATGTAGTTTTTTTTTTTTTTTTTTTTTTTTTTTTTAGAGTGAGTGCCGTGGCATCAGCCTAGCTCACAGCAACCTCAAACTCCTGGGCTCAAGCGATCCTCCTGCCTCAGCCTCCCGAGTAGCTGGGACTACAGGCATTCGCCACCATGCCCGGCTGATTTATATATATATATATTAGTTGACCAATTAATTTCTTTCTATTTTTATGGTAGAGACGGGGTCTCACTCAGGCTGGTTTTGAACTCCTGACCTTGAGCAATCCGCCCGCCTCGGCCTCCCAGAGTGCTAGGATTACAGGCGTGAGCCACCGCGCCCGGCCTACACATGTAGTTTTAAATTTCCTAGTGAAAATATTTAAAAAGCAAAAATAAACAGGTAATACTATATTTGTATTTAACCTACTATATGCAAAATATCATTTCAGTGTATCATGAAGATAAAAATTATTAATGAAATAGTTTACATTTTTTTAATACTAAAATCTTCTACATCCAGTGTATATTATACTTAAAACACATTTTAATCCAGACTAGCCAATTTTAGTTACTCAGTAGCCACATGTGGCTAGTATCTAATATATTGGACAGTGTAGGTTAAAGGAGTTAATGATTACTATATTTGCCAGTATTCTTTGTATATCTTTTGCCTTATTAGGATTAATGGTGTTTTTTTTTTTTCTGTAAAATATAATTTAGGTGAAAGTGGCTTTATCAAGAATATCTTTTTTGTTGTTGTTGTTGTTTTTGAGACAGCATCTCACTTTGTTACCCAGGCTGGAGTGCAGTGGCCCAGTCATAGCTCACTGTAATTTCAAATTCCTAGGCTTAAGCAATCCTTTTTCCTCAGCCTCCTGAGTAGCTGAGACTACACACACACACACACACACACACACACACATGCCACCATGTTCGACTAATTTTTAAAGTTTTTGTAGAGTTGGAGTCTCACTGTATTGCCCAGGTTGGTTTCAAACTCTTGGCTTCAAGCAATCCTCTTGCCTCAGCCTCCCAAAATGCTAGGATTACAGGTCACTGTGCCCAGCCAAGAATACCTCTTATTATATATACAAAGAAAATGAAATCAGTATCTTGAAGAGTTGTCTGTCCATTTATTGCACAAAATTCACAATAGCCAAGACACTTATGGGAACAACATAAGTGTCAGATGGATAAAGAAAATGTGGTTTATATATACAATGTAATATTAGACATAAAAAGAGAAGAAAATTTTGCCATTTGCAATAACATGGATGAACCTGGAAGATATTATGCTAAGTGAGATAAGCCAGACACAAAAAGACAAATACTCACAAATATGATCTCACTTATAGGTGAATCAAAAAAGTTGAACTCATAGAAACAGAGAACAGAATGGTAGTTGACAGGGCTAGGGGGTGGGGAAATGGAGAGGTGTTGGTCAAAGGGTACAAACTTTCAGTTACAGGATGAATAAGTTCTGGGGACTAATGCATAGCATGGTGACTATACATAATAATACTGTGTTGTTTACTTGAAATTTCATAAGACAGCAGATTTTTAAGTGTCTTCACCCCCTCACACACACACAATGGTAACTGGGGGTGATGATGGATGTACTAAATAATTTGTAGTAATCAGTACATAGCATACACACACACACACATATATATATCTCAAATCATCATGTACACCTGACATATATAATTTTTGTCAATTAAATGTATTTTTAAAAAGAATATCTTTTGTGATAATTTAAAAATGAATTACTACTCATGAAACAATGAAATATTAATTATTTGATATCATTATTAATGTGGTTGTCCTCAACTCTAAAATAATGAAGGGAGATGTATGGATAATTTTTACTGGAGGATAATTGAGATGGGTCTTCTTTTGCGATAAAGGCTTTTTGGAAACAAGCTAGAGAATGGAGTTTGGGGAGAGGTAGTGAATAGGAAGGTCATTTTGGAAAGAGTTCATAGCTAATGAAGAATTCTTAAGGTCTTTGAATGCCTGTTACCTAAGTGATCTATTTTTATTTCTTTACCTTGCATTATTAACAGGGACCAGTGAGATTGTTTGAAAATGACCCCAATATTTAACTATTAAAGTAGTAAGAGAAGTAGGTCAATAAAGCTAACTATTACCCTATTAGTATTATCTGTTTGGAGAAAGTCTTCAAAAGATAATTAAGGGCAGAGTTTGCCTCTTTTCTAGCACTTCAACTACAGGCAGATTGTGGCTGCTATTGCCATATATGTTTGATATTACCCATTTCACCAGTTGTTATCATTTAGATAGGCAAGCAAAGTCATCTAGGAAGTCAGAGGATTGCAAATGGAATCAGAATCATGTTGCCACAGTCTTACTCTGGCTTAGCTTTGAGTATGATATTGGCCGACTGGAGACCACTAGACCCTCAGCTGCCGTCTGCTGCCTTCTGGTAGTGCTCCATGATCATGTGTCCATGCTGCTGCTTTGCAATGTAAATGCTAATAATCATACTATGCACTTAGCTATGAGAGAGATATGAGAGAGATCGAGAGGTGTCCCTCTTAATAGAGACCAGTCATTGTTCAGTGGAATAACTCTTTTAGTCAATCTATGTAAGTAATAGAGATACCAAAAATGATCAGACTAGCAGTTAGTTTACTTTTAATTCACCCAGGAGTCCACTTTTTAGTATATACTTTCGTGACATGTATGTGCATATGCACCAGGTAGCATGTACTAGAATGAGAATGTTCGTAGCAGCATTATTTGAAATAGTAAAAAGTGTTCATCTACAAAAATAATGGATGAATTATCAGTGAAAATAAACGAACTTTGGATACACACATGCCAGCCTTTTCAACAGAAATCTTATTTCTTATTCCCTAAATAAAGTAGGCACACAATTGGAAATATAAGAAAATCCTAACTGGATGAGCAGAAGAGAAGAAGGAAAAAAAAAAGTCCTCATAGCTGGAAAACTTCCTTCACTGTATCCAAAGTTATAAGAACTCACTGGGTTGTGTCTCTAAACTGAGAATCAGAAAAATAATCATAATCAGTAAATTCACAATTTTCATAGGAGATTTCTAAATTTCCAAAGCGATATAGCCTTTTATCTATCAGTCTGGCTAGCTAACTAGTTCCATCCATCACCATGAACATCATCTGATTTAACAGAGTCTTCATTATGCTAGATTCATCTGTATATATTTTAGTGTTTGAGAATCTTCCCAAAGTTAAATTTGATTATAGATAAACTTAAGAGTGTCATCAGTACTTGGATAAAGCAAATTTTACTTGATTTTATATTCATTTTTTAAAAAACCTGAATGCTAATAATTAACCAACTATTGTTAAAATTTTTAAGGGAAATTGAGTAGCAAGATCTTAGGTCTGATTATAAATATTTGTCCTTTTTGGGAGTTTGTGATTTTTTTCAGCTCAAAACAGTTTTTAAAACCTCTTGTGATGATAGTGTTTAGAAGAAAAACAAAAAAGGGGACTATTAATTGTAATGATAGATGTAAACCTGTTTTTCAATAAGGGTTCACTTTGTTTTCTTTCTCTTTAGTGGTTTTTGGCAAATTTGTCATATCAAGAAGCACTTTCAGACACACAAGTTGCTATAGTTAATATTTTGTCTTCAACTTCTGGTAAGACATTTGTCTTCAAAATCTGCATTATATGTCTATCTGTGTATTTCCGCTCTATATGTATGTACATGTACAAACATGTTTATCTTATTATAACTTAGTGTAGTAAGTTACATTAGTTCTAATGTACATTAGCCTATTATAACTGCCTTTTAATCTTTATAAAGTCATGTTCCACATAACGATGTTTTGGTCAATGGTAAACTTCATATACCATGGTGGTCTCATAAGATTATAATATTATATTTTTATTGTAACTTTTCTGTTTAGATACATAAATATTTACTATCACATTATAGTTGCCTACAGTATTCAGTACAGTAACATGCTGTACAGGTTTGTAGCCTAGGAGCAATAGGTCATACCATATAGCTTAGGTGTAGTGTAGGCTATACCATCTGGGTTAGTGAAAGTACACTCTATGATGGCTGCTGCACAAGGGCGACATATCTAACAACACATTTCTCAGAATTTATCCCTGTCGTTAAGCATGACTGTAGTTTCATGTCTTAGCCCATGCTATTTATGTTCCTTCAAATACTTCATAGTATTTTTTATATAATAATATATTAAAGTTTTATAGGCTAGCTCTTTGTATTATAGTTGTCTTTCCCTTCACATATCCTTTCCAAAGATCTTTTTCTAGACCCTTTGGCTAAATGTAATTGCTTATTTCAGAACTGTAATTTGCCCTATGATAGGTGTTTTATATTTAAGATTAAATCACTTTCCAAGTCTGGAAAATAAAAGAAGTATTTTTGAAGCTATAAAAATAACTTTAGTACACAGGCTTTATTATGATGAGGTCAGAATGTTACTCTGAATTCTCGATTTAACTCATTAGTTTAAAATAAACAGGACTATACTTGACTTGTAAATAAATATGGTTTAGTTTAGAAGCTGTTTTTATGAATGAACTTTGAACGTTTCAGCCTAGGTAACTACAGTCTTATTCTTAGTTGTTTAAGAATGACAAAGAGTAGTTTAAAGGTTAGGTATATAATTTACTTATTTAACACATTAACTGCCATGTGAGTTGTATTTAACTTATGCTAGTTTTGAACTGGGGTCTCATGAAGCAAAACTTGCAGTTGGTTAATGAAAATCTTACTTGTTGATGTTCTTATTGTTAAAATTAATATTGACAATTTACTTCTAAAAATATGGATTAAATGAATAGAGGTCAATAACAAATTTTTCATTAAATTAGAAAGGATCATTTTGTTTTTAAAGCTTTCATTCTCTTTTCAGAATAAAACACCATAGCCCCAAGGAAAATTTTTTTTTCTAGTGTGGCAGTCAATGTGTTAAACAATGAAGCTGGTAGTAAACAGCGTTGACAGTATTTAATCTCATTTACCCTTTTTTGTCCTTTTCTCCCTATAGGACTTTTTACCTTAATCCTTGCTGCAGTGTTTCCAAGTAACAGTGGAGATAGATTTACCCTTTCTAAACTATTAGCTGTAATTTTAAGGTAAGAATGCAGCATAATAGCTAGTTTACTCTGCTTGAAAATATGATGTTAAATTTCTGGTACTTGTACAGGATAGTTTATATTATAAAAGCAAAGGAAGATGAGGATACAAGAAGGTTTTAAATGGACATTATGCTACTCAACCCTGCAACACATTCTGAACTAGTTTTCTGAACCTTCCTGGATAGGGTAACCAGATGGAAGGAACCCAAGGCAGCTTTGGTTCTTATTCATGTGTCTGTTGACTCCTTAAGTATTGTACTGATGTTCACATTTTATTTAATGTGGCAGCTTAGTCCTCATAATCTCCCAAGTTTTTATTTCCTTTGTCTAAGACAAATTCCCCCTTTTGTTGTGATTTTGATTTCTCCTTCTCCTACTTTTACTAGAAATGTGACATTCAGTCTTCTCTAATTATCTAAGTCTCAGGTGATCTTTCAGTAATTTTTTGCATAATTCATTGGACAGTTTTACACTACTGCATAACATCAGTATTGTTGATAACTATATTTAAATCTTTTATTTTTATTTAACTAGTGTATGTTTGTCCTGTCTTCTCTATTGGATTATAAACACTTAAAGGCCAAAGCCTTATTTTTGATTGGTGTCACCAAAGCCCTAGCTTTGGCTTTGCCCAAAGACAGTACTCAAAAAAGATGTTTGGTTTGATAAAGCTGTTATTTTTGTGAGAGAAAATCGGAGAAAGTAGCAGAATGATTTAATGGAGAGAGTTGTGTTTCTTAACTATCGGAGCTGGGATTGAATAAGAGCTGTGCTATTTTCTCCTAGGTAGTTCATTGCCTTAAACTCTGAGGGTGTTTCCTAGTTGAGTAAATGATAATATGTACTTTGCAGCTCTGTTTTAAAGTTTGGGGGTAATATATATAAAGTGACTGTCATAAAGACTGGTGCTTGGCAATCACATAAAATTGGTGGCCCTTATTATTACATGTTTGTCTTTTTTAGCTATATGGGTAAATTAACCATGGTAGTTTCAGTGGATAGTCTGGATGACCCAACTAATTTACCATTTAAACTTTATGGCCACTAGAGATTTATTCTTTTGCACAGTTGGCTAACGTTTTAGCCAAGCAAATTTTTGCATTAGGGAAATATATTTGTACTGGGGAAGTAAACGAGGTTTTACTTAACTTTATTGAAAATATGTGCTAACTTCTAACTTTTCTTTGTAATATTTTAATAAAGACTTGATAAAGAAGGAAATGGACATAAAATATTGAACTTGCAAGTGTTTTGACAAAGAACATTACTCTTTTTCATTAAAGTAGGTCTAGAATAGAGGTTGGCAAACTAAGGTAGGCCAGCTGCTGGGTTTTGTAAATAAAATTTTATTGGAACACAGCCATTCTCATTTATTTGCAAATTGTTTGTGGCTGTTTTAGCACTACAGAGGCAGAATTGAATTGCAACAGAGACCATATGGCCTACAGGTTTAAAATATTTACTCTCTGTCCCTTCAACAAAAAGTATTACTTAGAAACTTTTTGTATATGTTCTTGAGAATTATATATTAACGTTGTTTAATACTTTGTTTTCAATTGCTTTTACAATGAAATTGAATATCTGAGGACATAAAACGAATTTGACTTAGCAACAATCTTGAAAGAAATCTCCTAAGAAATCTCATTTCATTAATTGAGAGACAAAAAAGAGTGTGGCCTCAAGCCAAACAACCTAGAATTCAATCCTGCTTGCATCATTACTGGTTTTGAGATCTTGGGCAAGGTTCTTACTTTTCTGTGCCAATTTCCTCATCTGTAAATTGGGGATAATAATAGGATTTGTCTCATAGAAGTGTTAGGAGGATTAAATGACTACTTCTAAAGTACTTGGAACAATGTCTGTTATACAACAGGTGCTTAATATATTTAGCCATTATTATCATCATCTAAGTGAGAACAAAATCCCTAGTTTCTAGTATGTTGCGGGCACTCAGTGAATAATAGCTGAATCTGAATTTGAACAATGATTAGTGCACAAAATTGTGATGATTCAATTGAAAGGTAGAAATATTTAATATAACGAATTTATTTGACTTGTGATGACATAATTCCATAAGGAGAAAAATATTCTTTTCCATATTCTCCCATTGCCACCCTGATCTTCTGATCAGTAGGGTAGAGTGGTTAGACTGATTTTTTAAAATTAGCAATATTTCTTCTACTTGAAAAAATTACAGAATTTACAAGGTACATAGAAATAGACAATGTAAGGTCACTGGGAAAAGGACTGTTTTGTCCACTGCTGTAACATAGTGCTGTAACATAGTGTAATCATATTAAATGCTCAGTAAATAATGAGTGAGTAAGTGACCTCTCTGCATCCTTAATTCAGTCTTATTTTTATCTACTAACATCATGGGACTAGTGAAATTATTTAAGTATGTAAAGATAGTTTTACTGTTAATTTAGATTTTGCCAGTAAACAAGAGTAGTGCCATTGCTACGTTTATATAGGTTTAACATATTTATATTTCCAAAAGAAAGATCGGAAGAAGGATGACAAGTTGGTACATTTGTTCCTAACTGAAAGGAAGTAGATAGCAAAGCACATGAGAACACTGGACTCTGGGGCCAGGCTGTGTGCATTTCAGTCACAGCCATGTGATCTTGGTGAAGTTACTTCATGTCTTTGTGCATTGTTAGTTTTTGTATGTAAAAGGGGAATGGCAATAATAATACTTCCTTATAAGGTAATACTGTGTATTTTGTGAGTATTAAATGAGTTAATATAAGTATAACACTATATTATATTGATAATATTATTAGCTGTTATCAGTGAAATCACAAAATTCTTTGACTGTTTTACCCAAAGCTGAGATTGGTCTTAATTGTTAGGTTTGGAGCTGAGAGAGAGACACATGAAGCCTCATGTGGAGCAAAATGCTGTTTATTTTGAGCATCTGGGTGCAGATGGGTGGAGGCCAAAAGAAAGACCACCACCCGGGAGGGGAAAGCCTTGGGTTTTATAGAGGGTATTTTGGGGGGGAGTGAGCGACACCTGCAGAGATGGGGAAGGGTAGTTTCGTCCTTATCAGGGGGGATAGAAATGCTGGCATCGCTGCAGCTCTCTGTGGTCAGAGTTAGATTTATAACCTTCAGACTCTCCAGACTCCTGTGGCTATTATTTCATGGGCTTTATGATCACTATTTAAGTTTTCCATTAACCTCATTACATCCTATACATACTTTTTGGGTTCCCACCTAGAACAAACCTAACATTGATAACTTGTAAATAATTTTTATCTTTATGATTAGCCTTTTACAGAATTGATTATTTTGCTCAACAGTAATTACTATTATTCTTATAGCATTGGAGGTGTTGTACTGGTAAACCTATCAGGATCTGAAAAATCCGCTGGAAGAGATACAATAGGTAAGTACCTGACTCTGCATTCTCTCTTTTAGAGTATACAAGAAATTTTTGTGCGTATTGTTTATATGCGTGTGAGTGGGTGCGCGCACACACACACACACACACACACACACACACACACACACACATCAAGTGGGCACTAACAGCCTTTTTAAAAACTTTTTCTTTGGAAATAATGTAAAAAAAAATTCATAGTTTACAGAATTCTCACATAGTTTTTACCAGATTCTACAAATGTTAACAATTTATATAACTACAATACAATTATAAAAATCAGGAATTAACATTGATTATAATACTGTAGTCTATAGAGCCTTTTCAAACTTTGGCATGTTTTTTTTAACTAATTTTTTTTTTTGGTCCAGGATAACTCCTTAATTCCCTTTAATCTGGAACTATTCCTCAGTCTTTTTTGTCTTTTATGACTTTGACACTTTTGTAGGATACTGTCCAGTTGTTTTGTAGAATGTTCGTCAATTTGGGTTTGTCTGACATTTCCTTATGGTTAAACTGAGGTGGGGCATTTTTCTTAAACATTTCATGGAAGTGGAAGTGTTTTCTGATTCATGCATCATACCAGAAGGTATATAATACTGATTTGTTCTATTACTAGCTATGTTAATTTAAAGATGGTGTCTGCCAGGTTGCTCCAGTGTGAAGTTACTAATTTTCCCTTTAATACTTTGAGACTATACAAATTTCCTGTTGCTATTAGATTTTAACCCACAAATTTTATCTTTCAATGTTGATTATTGCCTGAAACAGTTACTACTATGGTGAACACTTAGTTTTGATCCATGGCTTAGATTTTACAAAAACAAAGGTAATCAGAACCCAGCTTAATGGTTTTTCTTTGTATGCTTCTTTAAATATTTGAAATTTATTGAATAGAACAGTGCTTTCTAAATTATACTCATCACTGCCCTGTGAGCTATGCCTTGAACATAGTTTCCCTTTCTCACCCCAAGCAGCTTTGTGTATATGAAACACACACTCTCTCTCTTTTTATGTGTGAGTGTGTGTGTGTGTGTATACATATATTATATATGTATATATATTGTATGTTGAAAGATTTTGTTGATAGGCTTTTGTTATTTTCCTTTTTAAAAAAGCTTGAGGCCAGGCGTGGTGGCTCACTCCTGTAATCCTAGCACTCTGGGAGGCTGAGGCAGATCGCTCAAGGTCAGGAGTTCAAAACCAGCCTGAGCAAGAGCGAGACACCGTCTCTACTAAAAATAGAAAGACATTAATTGGCCAACTAAAAATATATAGAAAAAAAAATTAGCCAGGCATGGTGACGTGTGCCTGTAGTCCCAGCTACTCAGGAGGTTGAGGCAGTAGGATCGCTGGAGCCCAGGAGTGTGAGGTTGCTGTGAGCTAGGTCAATGCCACAGCGCTCTAGCCTGGGCAACAGAGTGAGACTCTGACTCAAAAAAATAAAAATAAAAAAAGCTTGAAAATAATAAAATAGATTTAATCAAACATTGGTCTTTTGAATAATTAATTAAAGTATTTAGTATGATCACTTGGCAGGAGAACATTATGTAGCTGTCTTAAAAGACTTAAATGTTTTTGAGAGTGAGTTCATAAAGAAAATCAGTATTTATTATTCATATACTATGAGCTCTGCATTTTGTTAGATATTTTGGAACCCTAAAAAGTATAACTAATGTGTTTGCAGTTTTCAAGGAGTTCTTGGTATGAAACAATATGAGATTTACAAAATCAAGCCACTATAGGTTAAAATAATACCATATTTAACCTTAGTATAATTGGCTAAAGCAGATGACAAGTAGGGTGGGAATTCAGCCGAGTAGAAAGGATACTTTGTTAAAGCCGGGGGACTTTAACAGAGCCTTGAAGATAGGGGTGGTATTGGAATATATGTTAAGAATGATAAATGGGGATAAGAAAAACAGTATAAGTAACAGCATAGTGATGAAAGAAGCATTTGTTAAGTTGGACAGTGCCAGGTGTCAAAATTGTTTAGGTAGGGAAAAATACAAAGCATATATTTCAAAATTAAAAGCAGTGTTACTTATGAGTTTTGTTATTGTAACATGTATAGGTTTGGTTAGGGCATTGAGGTGAATGCTTTGCTATTTATTTGTTAACACATTAAACTCCTTTGTATACTCCTGGAAGACATAGATGGGGTTATTATATATCTCATTATATAGCTTTATATCATTATAAAGATTATTTATATCATTGTATATCTTTTTTATTTATTTATTTTTTTTTTGAGGCAGAGTCTTGCTGTGTTGCCCGGGCTAGAGTGCTGTGGTGTCAGCCTAGCTCACAGCAGCCTCAAATTCCTGGGCTCAAGTGAGCCTCAGCCTCAGCCTCCAGAATACCTGAAACTATAGATGTTCATCAGTATGCCCGGCTAATTTTTTCTATTTTTAGTAAAAACTGAGTCTTGCTCTTGCTGAGGCTGGTTTCAAATTCTTGACCTAAAGTGATCTTCCTACCTCGGCCTCCCAGAGTCCTAAGATTACAAGCATGAACCACCACGCCTGGCCTATATCTTTTCATTTTTGTATACTCATTTCTTGCAGTAGTATCTGACACATTATTAGATTTTAAGTGTATATTGAATGAGTTAATGAATGGATGCTTTAACCATGTTGTTTTTTACAGGTTCCATTTGGTCTCTTGTTGGAGCCATGCTCTATGCTGTCTATATTGTTATGATTAAGAGAAAAGTAGACAGAGAAGACAAGTTGGATATTCCAATGTTCTTTGGTAAGAGTATATTTAACTTGTGAGGCTTTTTACTCTAAATGATTAACTTTGGGGTTTGATTTTGTTTTTTGGAGGTAATCAATAGGGAAGCCTTTTTCCTCCTGCATATGATTCTTTAAAACTGTTTAAAGATTATAAAGTCCAGTCTCAATGTTTTTCTCTTACTTTGTCCTGCATTTTTGTGTATCTATGAGGGTATACTCCTAGAAACTTCTCACACCTTTTTCATGTTATTGTCTTCAGCCTGTGAACAGGTATTTTCCTCATTGACATGACAAAGTTATACTATTATAAGCCTGTGAAAGTTTACCTGTTGTATTATACATTTTGCCATTTTTGAATTGTTGGAAGCATAGGTTTGGGGGAACTGCCCCAAAATGATATGTATAATACTGTTCTAGTCTATGTCCTTATTTTCATTAAAACTTGTGGACCATTTAAATGCTTTCCATTTGCATTTTATCTTTAAGACTCAGAATCTTTTATAACATAGATTCTCAAATTACCCAATTATAGTTTTTGGCATCAATTCTTAGGTTGTGCTAAATGAAATACCTAATATGATTTATAAATTCTACTTTGCCTAAAAATCAGCTCAGTAAAGAATTTATGGTATCTGTAGGATTACAAAAGAAGTACACATTGATAAGATATCTTCCTAAAGATATCTGATTATAAACAGATAAAGAAGCCTGGTGCTGAGAGTTCAAAGTGCAGGTTACAGGGATTCAGGAGGTTTATCTCATACTTATCTGAAATATGAGGAAATTAGACTAGATGAATGGCTTCCAAACCATGATTTAGGGAATACAGAGGGTCCTTGGAAGACTGGGAAGAAGTAGAGTTGCATGCACGGGTCTGGTTCATGGACTCCCTTGATGTTTCAGCTGGAACAGCTCTACTTTGTTGGGCTTTTTGCATTATAATTTAATTTGTAGAAAAGGTTTTCCACTAAAAATAGTTTGAATACCCACACATAAAGATTAACAAAAATAAAATGTTTGAAAAGCCACCAGACTGAGTGATTGCTTCAGTGCCTTTTAAGTATAGAATTTAAGAAATATGCTTCAACAATGAAGATAATTTTAATGATGCTTATTTTAGAGTCATAGAAAATTCCATTTGCAACATAATGAAGTGCTAATGGATTTTTGAATATTAGAGGTAAATGGTTAGGTCAGTGGCACTTTTCTTTTAGTGGCAAACTAGGAAGAAAAATTGCTTAATTTACTCTTATTAAGAGAGTGCACATAAACATGTAATTTGTTCTGTTCATATGCAATGTGATATGTAAAGCAATATTGATCTACTCTGGGTTTTATATGGGATTTGGAGAAGAAGAAGTTAGGATTGGGATATGGGGGGGTTCTTGAGGCAAGGGAGTATCAGCAGAGGCATAATAAGGAACAGTGAATAGATCTGAATGATTGTGCCAGGATTTCACTTTCGGGAAGAACAGGAAGGTATGTGGTACTAGATTCTGGGGGCTCTGGGGAATAGGTGAAGTCATTTGGACTTTCTGTCTTTAGGTCAAAGCTGGCTAATTAATCTATGTGGAATTTCATAGAATCATCACTACGGGGCCAGAAAATAGATTTAGTTCTTGATAATGCCAAATTTTGTTGTCTTAGTTAGAATAACTTTTTAATGTTATTTAAGCCTTTTAAGTCCTTAGTCCTTTTTGTTTGTGTCCTTTTGTTTTTTTTTTTATCACTAGATGTCCTAAGTTGGGTTCCCTAAAGCAGGATATGAGATAGGGATTGGTGTGGGTGGTTTATTGGTTCTCTGAAGGAAAAACTTGTAAGGGAGTAAAGGAAGCAGGATGGAGAAGGAGAAAGAAGCAGGTAGCAGACAGAGAACAGGTAATATGTCTAGGCACTCCTCTGAGTTGTCCTGGCCCATTAGGGCTTGAGCCTGGTCCTTGGCCCATTAGGGCTTGAGCCATGAGGGCTGGCCTTATGAATCCTCCATCAGTTAGTTGTGGGCCGCAGAGGGTGTGGGGTGGTGAGGGTGGGAACTTTCTGGAGAAGACAGATTTGTTTGTTCTCCAAACACAGTTCTTCAGAGAAGGGGGTGGGGGCAGCTGTGAGTCTTTAGCAGCAGATGGAGAGTGGGTGCTCCTGCTTTGTTAAGAAGATTTTAACTAGACATCCTAAATATTGGTTTGTTATTTAGGTGACATAGCTAGTATAAAATATATGTCTACTGTAATTTAATGTTTTTAAAGAAAGCTCTGTAGTTACCTCATGGATCTCCTAGTAGATTTGTGATGTTAAACTGTATAGAAAGTGCAACAAAAATTACTATGCAACTGTAATCTTTTTTCTTTATAGTCTTTACATTCACATGTACGTAGTCATTTATAAACTTAATTTCTATAATAATAACAGCTAACTTCTATTAAGTGCTTAACTATGTGCCTGCCAGGTAGTATGATACGTTTTATAAGTGTTTTCCTCTAATCATCTGAACGACCTAATTAAATATTATTTTATATTTATAGATTGGAAAACTGAGGCTTAAAAGAGTTTCTGCATCTTCTACATCTTATAAGGTGTACACTACTAGTGCATTGTAGAGCTGGGATTGACCCAGGACAGTCAGACTATAGAGCATACACCTTTTAACCACTACAGGATAGCTTTCCTTTATGAGTAATCAGCCTGTACTTAGTTCATATGTTGAATAACTATTTGTGCATATATGTTATCTTACTAACTAGCTAGAGCTCTTAGAAGGCAGAGAATTTTATTTTCTTTGGAATCTTCCTCCATTATTCCTAGCATAGTATAGGTATTTTGAATATAAATGAGTTGAATCAGAGAGCAAACCATCTCTTTCCTCAAAATAATTTAGGCCAAATATACAAATGCATACATCACAGCTCCTTCTTTAAGTTCTAGGATACTGTATTATTATTAGCTACGGTTAATGACCCTTCTTGCTGAATTTTCTTAAGTGATTTATTCTACAGTAGTTGCTTTTGTATAGTGCAGACAATTGAACCTTGACTCAGTGATCACCAGTTGCTTGATGCAGTTTTTTCTGGCATTGAGCTAAATTCACTGAACTGACTTGAAAACAAACCAATAGAAGTTCTAGTTACAGAAATTTGTAGGAGCCTTTTGTGCAAAATTTAATGTTTTCTAATTATAGAGTTAATAAGGTTGGGAAATTGAAATAAATGACAATTTTAACTTTTGTCTCTTTTATACACATTCAGGTTTTGTAGGTCTGTTTAATCTGCTGCTCCTATGGCCAGGTTTTTTTTTACTTCATTATACTGGATTTGAGGACTTTGAGTTTCCCAATAAAGTAGTATTAATGTGCATTATCATTAATGGCCTTATTGGAACAGTTCTCTCAGAGTTCCTGTGGTTGTGGTATGTATTATTTATTTTCTTATTAGTTATTAGTTTATTATTATTTATTAGTTTATTAGTTATTAGTTTATTAGTTATTGACTTTTGGATGGTTTAAGCATTTATATTTCTTCTGTACACTGATGGCCCCTCCTGTGCACCCTTTACCACACACACCCACACACATAGACTCACTCTCTCTCTCTCACAATTGAACACATTAAAGTATTTTTAGGAAGTAGAGTGTTATGCAAATAAAAGTAGTCATTATCTAATGGACATCCAGACTTAGGAGATGTGTGTGAGAAGTATGAATGCTTGAGTTCTAAGTGAGAATCTAGGGAACTTTGCTTATTTAAAATGCTTTGGACTATCTGGTTGGTTGTTCATAAGCTTTCATAGGTTGTTCATAGGCTCACCCTTTCATGTGGGTGAGACAGCTATGTAAATCATAAACTGATTAATTTGAGTTGTTAACATACTTTGATATGTTATAATGTCAAATATATTGGTATGCGATAATAAGGTTAAAATAATTTAAAAATGGTATCATGTATGGGGTTTGAGAAATCTTTTAAATATAGAGCTTTATATTGAGTCCATCTAATAGAAACTTAAAAAGAAATACAAATTATACTTAAACTCCTAAATGAATTTTATTACATAGTAATTGAGACTATTAACTAGTTTTCCCTTGCAAAAGACTGCAACAGAAATAGACTTTTTCATGAAGTCTTCCTCAGTGCTCTGCCTGTGTTCCTCCCCAACTCCCTGTCCAGTGAAGGAAATATCTCTATTTCTTGATCTTCCATATTTACTCCCTTTGGTGTAGTACTTAAAGATTTACTTTGTATTGTAATAATTTACATACTTATCTAAACTCCTTTGCTGATTTAAATCTCTTTGATATCAATCCACTTATTCATTTTTTCATTACATATATTTTAGATGCTCAATTTTTTTAACCTGAAATATTAACTGATGACAAAAGGAGTCAGCCATCAGCTAACCTGGGAAAAGCTGGATTAAGTCAAACAGGTTTTCTAATTCTACCTCTCAGATTTTTATTATAATACTTTGCATGGTCAATATCTAAGAATATATGCTATATTTGACCCTTGAATCCTCTTTTCACAGAGCAGCTCATGAGCAGTGGGAATCACTAGTATTTGAGTTTCCTTTACCTCATCAGTGAAGACTAATTGTCCAAGCCCCAGTGAATACTTCTGGTGACACTTTATCAAGAGCCCATTTTATTGCAAGACAGCGTTAAGTTCTGACACATATACTGAGCTAGAATTTACTTGCCTATAACTTCACTTCCATGGATCTGTAGTCCTAATATATACATTATGGTTTTTTTTATCTTGGCTGATGATTAATTTTCTTCATATATACCCAAATTATTAGTCTTTGTAAGTGGATTGTCTGTGTTTGGTAGAATATTTTCCTTTAACTAAACAAAATTATATGCAGGTTGATATTTCAAAATTTCATACCAACATTGATAGTTCAAGGTGGAAAGAGAGTGAAGAGCTCAGCTTTTGGTTAGAACAATTGTTTGAAAAGTATAAAACAACAAAGAAATAATTCTTTAAAAATATCTGGTTCCTTCTTTTCTATACTAAGCCAATCAAAAGAATAATACACTATATTCGTTTTTATGAGAGTGAGATGTTTTTGCTTTGGAGGCAAAGTTGCATGTTGGTTTATCACTTTCTTAAAGTCTATGTGTAAGATATTGTCCTATTATTTTAACAATGCTATTTTCTTTGTTAGCTAAGTATCATTATAAAACAATAAGAACTCTATTGAACAGTTTCTTTAAAAAAAATAATGAAATGGACATTATACATCCAAAGTTGAATCCTATTTGTAAACAGATCTTGAAAATAATATAAAATATTTTGAACTTTTAATACCTACATATTTATATTTTAATATTTGAAGATAAACTTTGAGAATTATCTTAATATATTTATTATTTTTTATGTCTTAGTCCATCCTGAGTTCTTATTACTGCTCCTGATCTCTCAAGCCTATATTGTAGTTTCAAAAGTCTATTGTTCAGTATTTTTCTTTGGTTCTTTTATTTTTTTAATACAGAAATGCATATTTTGTCTTTTGTTTTATTTTAGGGGCTGCTTTCTTACCTCATCATTGATAGGCACACTTGCACTAAGCCTTACAATACCTCTTTCCATAATAGCTGACATGTGTATGCAAAAGGTAAGGCAAACTGTTTATTAGACACTTTAGGTATATTGTTAAAATAGAGCAAATGAAAATAAAGGGATATGACTAAATTATAAGGGATACAAACATGAATGATATTTGATGTCTTCTATCTGAAGGTGCTTTACTACCTAGAAATACAAAAAGTACCAAAGCAATGGATAATCTCCATTTTTAGCTTTTCATTTTTTTTCTAAATTTTTAAGTTAAGGGCATTATCTTTATATGTAGTTCTGTAGTTTTTCAGCTGATTTTGTTTCAGATGTTCTTTGGTAAGTCAGTGATATAGAATAGGGGATACATTTTATCATATAAGTAATAGTATTTTGGCTTCTAAGATAAACTCTTATCATCAGAGGTTTCTTAACACTACACTGATACTAGAGAGATGAACACCACATGAATGATGCTGTTTCTCAGTGAACGTTCATCTCTGTCTCAACTCTGCAGAGCAGGTGTCCTTTTTGTCTTCTATGCAGTCCTCCTGATCTGGATGCAGAGATTCTTGTGATGAATATTTGCAATGATAACATCACAAAAAAGAGAATTGAGGTGTCTCTGCCAGCAGCCTAGAAGGGAGGAGCCTCAGTGCTCCTAGAGGTAGCATGGGTTTGCCATTGGCGAATGCTAAAAGATGGAGGGGGGTAGCCAATTATCACACCTTTCAGCATTTATAAGCTTTTAACTACAAGTACTAAGTAACACACTTGTGAGCGTGTGTGTGTGTGTGTGTGTATGTGTGTGTGTGTGTGTGTGTGTGTGTGTTTTGGTTTAATATAACTTGAAGAGGGAAATACTCCAAAGCCCGAAGGCTTACAATGTGTACAGATAGTCATATTTTTAAAGTTGTTTTTCGTTAGGTCTTTGCATTTTTTTAAGATGAAGGAAAAATACTCTCAGTGATATGTATTCTCTATAAAACAATTCTGTGCTGATATTTAACTTTGTTTTATAGCTCAGTAAATTCTTACTTATTTGTCATGGTTAAAAATGGAGATCTTCTCCTTAATTGAGAATTAAATATCTTACATACCATGCATTTTCAAAGAATGTGAATATTATAAAATACACATAATACCAAAGTTACACATCTCTAAATTCTTTTATAGATTTAAATAATATCCAGATCCTTCCCTGTCTCTGGGTTGTAATCCTGAACATGAACCAAAATGGTCGTAGTAAAACTGGGGAAGTGCTGCTTATTAGAAGATTTTGGTAGACTGCTGTATAAATCACCTTTACCATACTGGTATTTTAAAAACATAAGCTTTTGTATAGTGAAAAATAAATTGAAGGTCAATTTTAGGAAATTTTCTTTTTTTGAGACAGAGTCTTACTCTGTTGCCCCGTACTAGAGTGCCGTGGCGTCAGCCTAGCTCACAGCAACCTCAAACTCCTGGGCTCAAGCAATCCTTTTGCCTCAGCCTCCCGAGTAGCTAGGACTACAGGCATGTGCCACCATGCCTGCCTAATTTTTTCTATATATTTTTAGTTGGCCAATTAATTTCTTTCTATTTTTAGTAGAGGCGAGGTCTTGCTCTTGTTCAGGCTGGCTTCGAACTCCTGACCTTGAGTGATCTTCCCACTTTGGCCTACCAGAGTGCTAGGATTATAGGCGTGAGCCACCATGCCTGGCAAATTTTAGGAGATTTTTAAGAGAACTGTCACAGGGGACCTTACTTTGTTAAATGATAGTATAATTTGTTTAATGAACTATTTTAAGATGAAGGGGAATGTATGTACATGTAGCTAATTAGAAAAACATAACCAAATAGTCTTTTCTTGACTGTCTTCACATGTAGAACTGGACAATGAGGTAAATGAGTAGGCTGGGGGTTGAGCATAAGGAGAAACATGATAGGATAAATCTTCCACTTTCATGGGTTTTCTTGGTTCTATTAGCCAACCATATTTATGGATAGCTTCCGAAATTTTAGCCATTGTTAACATTGTGCTTGAAACAAATTGGCTATTTTAATCTATTTATAATTGTTTTACATAATAGGAAGCTTCTGTGATCAAATTCAGATTTATATTCATTTGTATTCAAGAATTAGAAAAAAAAATTTTTGTTTATGTAGGCAATTTTCTTTGTTTTAATAAATGTCTTTATTTCTTTTATTTGCATAGTTTGTTGGAAATCAAATTAGAAGTTTTTTTATTACAAGGCAATACGTAAATATCTACATTGTTGAAAATGAATTTTGCCTTTAAAAGTCTTCTAAGATTCTACTTTTATTCATTTATGAAATAAGATTTTTAGTTGAATGAAATCATTCTATCAACTATATCTACATTTTTAATTCTCATGCATAATTTTTTAATATGTCTTCTGATTTGGGTGATTTAAATGCATCATGATTTTTCTAGATTATTAAATATTCTGGTAAATATTCCAAGAATATGTTAAAAATATCTCCATAATTTGATTAATTAAATGAAGGCTTTTTTTGTTTTGTTTTTCTTAATGACTGCTCTTTCCTGGCTGTTCTTAGGCTGACTCTGCCACTGTGTGTGTGTGTACCATACAAATAGGGCATGTATGTTAAAAATCATCAGTTATTATTCTTGTGTTGTGTGTTTTGAATTTCCTCTTAAAAGATATCATTCTTACAAAACCCCTTTACTCTGACTAATGGTGCTATGAAATGGAATAGTATATGTTTTCCACCAGAGGGAGTCTTGCCTATGATTCCAAACCTCTTTTATTTATTTATTTTTTAAACTCTCAGAATAAACATGGTTCTCCTTCCCTATTTTAAAGGTAGGAGTTACTATTTTCATCATTATTTTAAAAGCAGACCTCCAGGGTGTTGCACCTAAGTCTCAATAGTTGATCAGTGCAGTCTTCTTTGACAATTGTTTTTGATCTTTAGTTGAATCTAGATTGTAAAGGTAAATGGAAAGGGAAGAATTATTTTTGTTAATGGTAACTTAATGGTATCTCCTTATTTTTTATTTTCTTGACGACTCTAATAAATGACAGATTGGAGGATCAGACTTGGTGACATTGGAGGGCTCGGCACTGTTGAGGCTTGTCTTGTTGCTTGTCTTCTCTGGCTAACACTCCTTAGTAAAAGTATTCCTATATATTTTCTTTGTTTTAAAGATCATTAATTCATTTCAAACTTTTTTCATTTGTTACTAAATAATAAGCTAGTTTTGAATGTCATGGTTAGCATTTGTTGCAATTGTTAATAAAAGGTTTGTAAAAGTTGCACTTAAGGATTTCATTTGTTTTTAGTACTGTCTTAACGCTAACATAATACATCATAGCACACATATAATTTATTTTTTTAAGTGTGTATTTTCAAAGATGACTTCAGTAACTGAGGGAAAGGGATGCACTTGAGGAAAGGCAGCAAACAGTAAAGAAGAAACGGGCAAACTTGGTGTGCAATGTGGTATTCATAGTGGGTATTTCTGCATGGTGTACTATGCCTAATAAAAGGGGGGCATTCCTTCTTGGCTTTCCTAAGGCTGTTTTCCAAGCAAGAAGTATTGTTGTTGGTAATTTTGGTAAGTGGAATTGTAAGTTGAAGTCCTAAATCCAAATTTAAAAATAATCTACTTAATAATACATTATCCATGGTTACTGTTGTATTTTTGGTGTTTTAACTTATTCCTGCTAGTTTTCACAAATGGAAAATTTATGTTAAAGGGGAAAATTGCCTTAATAATTGTGGGTTTCTTCTTCCCCTATCTTTTATTTTTAGGTGCAGTTTTCTTGGTTATTTTTTGCAGGCGCTATCCCTGTATTTTTTTCATTTTTTATTGCAACTCTCTTATGCCATTATAATAATTGGGATCCTGTGATGGTGGGAATCAGAAGAATTTTTGCCTTTATATGCAGAAAACATCGAATTCAGAGGTAAGTTTAATTCCAATACAGATATTAAAAAAATAATGTTTGTTAAATAAAGTAAGAGTCATATCATGCTGGCCTAGTTTTTAGAGATTTTATGAGTAATTATTTAAAGAATTTAATTTATCTATATGTTATGCCAGATAAAAATAAAATAATTTGTTCAGATCCTTTAGGTAATAAGATAGTTTCTTCCTCAGTACTTTTTAGAAAAAATGTTTTGATTCACAGGTAAAACCAAAATGCTTACTATTTTGCCATAATGAATTTTTTATTTTTGAGATAGAGTCTCACTTTGTTGCTTAGGCTAGAGTGCCGTGGCATCAGCCTAGCTCACAGCAACCTCAATCTTCTGGGCTCAAGCAATCTTCTTGCCTCAGCCTTCCAAGTAGCTGGAACTACAGGCATGCACCACCATGTCCGGCTAATTTTTTGTGTATATATTTTTAGTTGGTCAGTTAATTTCTTTCTATTTTTAGTAGAGACGGGGTCTCGCTCAGGCTGATTTTGAACTCCTGACCTCAAGCAATCCGCCCGCCTCAGCCTCTCAGAGTTTGTGAGAGGTGGCTCACATCTAGGATTATAGGTGTGAGCCACCACGCCCGGCCTATGAATTTAAATGAAGATTTTTATTGGTTTGAACATAATTCATAATAGAATATGATAGCACTGCCTAAAATTTTGTTTTGATTTTTTTCTTTCTTTCTTTTTTTTTTGAATCAGAGTCTCGCTCTATTGTCCGAGCTAGATTGCCATGGCATCATCCTAACTCAAAGCAACCTCAAACTCCTGGACTTAAGCAATCCTTCTGCCTTAGCCTCCCAAGTAGCTGGGACTACACACATGCACCACCATGCCCCGCTAATTTTTTCTATGTATTTTTAGTTGTCCAGATAATTTCTTTCTATTTTTAATAGAGACGGGGTCTTGCTCTTTTTTAGGCTAGTCTCGAACTCCTGACCTCCAGCGATCTTCCCACCTTGGCCCCCAAGAGTCCTAGGATTACAGGCGTAAGGCACCGGGCCTGGCCTGATTTCTTTCTTTTTAAGAAAAAATTCTATTTTACTCTAAAAAGAATTTGGGACAAGTTCTTGGGAAATTTTATCCTAGTCTTGGTTCTGCCTCTAACTCGTATTCTGACCTCACATCTTGAGCCAGTGGAGTTGATAATGTTTAAGGTTCCCTTTTAGCTGTAAAACTTTAACTGTTGTTTTTCTTTCTTAAGAGTTCCAGAAGACAGCGAACAGTGTGAGAGTCTCATTCCTATGCACGGTGTTTCTCAGGAGGATGGAGCTAGTTAGCTGTTGTCTGTAGCCCAGGTGTGTATGTGAGTTGGCATTAATATTGAATGTGGTTCTTATTCTTGTAATATTCAAACGTGGGATTGATTTTCCATAATTAGTTGTTTGAGAGGCAGTGCAGCCTACAGGTTAAGGGAATAGCCTCTGGAGGCAAACTGGGCTCCAATTCCAGCTTCTTCATGTACTAGCTGTGTGACCTTATGTAGGGTTCTTAACTTTTTTATGCTTCAGTTTTCTTATTTGTGAAATGGGATTGCAGTAGAACCTCCCTCATAAGGTTATTACAAATATTAAATACTTGGCAAGTTTAAGTATATACAGTGGTGCCTGACTCAAATTAAATTAGATCAGTAAGTTTTAACTCTTATTTTTATTCATGCTAAGGGTCATCATTTTATTTAATGAGATACTTTAGAAAAATATTTTTTCTCTGATTATAAAAGTAAGAGTAAATGTAATATTTTGGTGTATATCTGGTTCTTTTCTGTGTGTGTGTTTTACATAAGTGACACAATGTATATCCTGATTCTCTGACTGCTTTGTCACTTAGCAATGTTTCAGGAACATTTTTTCATCTTTTAGGTTTTAAGAAATACTGTCTTTTATATTTCTTAGATGACAGAAAGAGTGCATGATATTTAATGTTTTACTGAAAGAGTACTTGAAATAAATCCAGTGCATATCTTTGGCATATAGAAAAATGATTGTTTATTTTGAATGAGAGATTACTATAAATTACTAGAATTCTGGAGATTCAGGTCCCTTTCTTCTGAGATATCTTTGGGCAATTTATGTTGAAATGTTTCCTAATCAAAACTAGGTTTCCCTTCCTCAAGTAGAACATTGTACAACTCCTGTCAACTCCTAACACTCATTGGTTTTGAAGCTTAAGTGTCATTATCTTCTTGGTAAATTTGCCTCTAACCTAAGGCTAATTGTCTTAGTTTTTGTGTTTTTCTTTGGTGGGTTGTTTTTTAATCTAGTTTTACTATTTTGATGGTTATACATGCCCACGGTTTGAGTTCTAGTTCTCAAGACTTCTTGTTCAACCCAGTTATCCCGCCCCACGCTGCCCGCACTGCATCCTGCTGTCATTCTTTTCCCACTCTGAGGAAATCACTTTAAACTCTTAGCTGATTCTTTTGATACTTACCTTCCTGTCTTTAAGTATCATGTTTATGACTTTTGTTTCTTGAGTTTTCAGTTGTAGGTATCTACAATTGACTTTTCTACTGAGGTTGATGAAGATAGATTATTTTCAAGTTTATTTTTCCTCTGTTCCTATCCCACATGCCTGCCCCCCAGGCCCCTATCAATCCTACATCTTCCTCCTCCCTGTGTAGTTATTGCATAATTTTGAGTATATGGAAATGAGATGGAGAAGAGGCACTTGACCAACTGTGAAAAGTAAAGGGAAGACATCTGAGTATCTAGCTGCTTCTATAGACTTTGTACCAGTCTTCCTGTCTTTCTTCATCCCTCCTTACAAAGATAAATATGGTCCTATTTCTCCATTGCTAGCTAAGAGTTGGCTGACATTTTCTGTCTCACAGCTTGTCTCTTTGTCCATTGGTTTATTTTTTTTAAGGAAAAATCCCTTGATTGTCTTTTTAGTGAGGAGGGGAAGCAGTGGAACTAAATAGGTGTTTATTTGCCATCTTTAAATTTAAAAAAAAAACATAAACATAATTATAGTAAGTCCTTAATGTCGTTGATAGGTTCTTAGGAACTGCAGCTTTAGGCAAAATGCTATACAACAGTTCCTCAAATAATTTTTTTTTTCTTTTTGAGACAGAGTCTCACTCTGTTGTGCAGGCTAGAGTGCCATGGCATCAGCCTTGCTCACAGCAACCTCCAACTCCTGGGCTGAAGCAATCCTCCTGCCTCAACCTCCTGAGTAGCTGGGACTACAGGCATGTGCCACCATGCCTAGCTAATTTTTTATGTATAGTTTTAGTTGTCCAGCTAATTTCTTTCTATTTTTTTAGTAGAGATGGGATCTTGCTCTTGCTCAGGGTGGTCTTGAACTCCTAACCTCGAGCGATCATCCTGCCTTGGCCTCCCAGAGTGCTAGGATTACAGGCATGAGCCACCATGCCTGGCCTCAAATAATTTTTTTTTTGTTATAACATTGATGAGGACAAAAGGTGGTTTTCTTGTCAATTTGCTTAAAGTTGTAGTTTCCAAGAACTATTGACAATGTTAAGTAAAGACTTATTATATTCTGTAAAGATTTTTTTTTTTTGAGACAGAGTCTCGCTTGTTACCCAGACTAGAGTGAGTGCTGTGGCGTCAGCCTAGGTCACAGCAACCTCAAACTCCTGGGCTCAAGTGATCCTGCTGCCTCAGCCTCCTGTGTAGCTGGGACTACAGGCATGTGCCACCATGCCCGGCTAATTTTTCTATATATATTAATTGGCCAATTAATTTCTTTCTATTTATAGTAGAGATGGGGTCTTGCTCTTGCTCAGGCTGGTTTCGAACTCCTGACCTCAAGCAATCCACCCGCCTAGGCCTCCCAGAGTGCTAGGATCACAGGCATGAGCCACCGCGCCTGGCCATATTCTGTAAAGATTTTAAATGCTGTAAATGCTTTTATAAAAATGCTTTATACATTATTTTTCCTTGGTATGCTGTGCATGAATTCCATACTTACACTAAAGCCCACCCGACCCAGGCAAGGTTACAATATTTTTGGAAGTGAGAGCTGGATAAAGGGGAGACAATGAAGACTAAAGAAGATGCATCACAACAGAGCAGTGTAGAGTAGAACAGGTTGAGCAGGAGTCTTTGTCTCTGCAGGAGTGATGGTGGATGATACCAGGAGTAAAACTAACCGCTCATACATAATCTGTAAGTTGTACTGGATGTCAGCCTTTGACATTGCTATAGAAGTCACTTTCATGAGTTCTTAGTACCGACTTGAGTATCCAGTTATTAAGTGCATATACAGTGTATGACAGATATTTCAACATTAAGATAATTTGCTTTTTAAAATCTGAACTGTAGGAAATTATAATCTAATCATGTTTTTATATTTTTTTGTTTTATTTTTAGCTTGATAATGGAACATTATACAGCGAAGAGACAATCTCTGGCAAGTTTTTGTAGAAAAATATTTCAGTGCCTAGTCTGAAAAATAACAGTTTCAGTTCTTTGAAACTCTAAAATGTATTTTTCTCATATCTGTTTTCTTCATTTTCATAATGAAGTACTTTGCTATGTAGCTGTGTACATATCACTACAATTATAGGAAGTTCCAGTCCATAGTCCATCTAAAGGACCAATCTGCCTTACCATATCTCAAGGAATTCAGCTGATGAAATCATTTGAACTAATCAAGGAATGAATCCTAATGTTCTGGAGACTTTATTTTCACATATTTGTTAAATGCTGGACTATATTATGAAAATATTTTTAAGAAATCATGTAAGTATTCATAGACCAGTATTTCTGACAGGTAAAATGCTAAAATAAGCTGCCTGTAATAGGTACGGATTATATTTTTGAGTTTTGTAGAATATTGCAAATTAACCACCTAGAAAAATGTTTAATTTATGCAACAAGTATGTTCATGCAAATTTGGTAGGACTTTAAAAAGAATAAATATTTGAGAAACGATCTGGTTCACTTACACTACATATACTGTATTGTCCTTTCATAGCATTAGGTGCCTTGTATTTTAAATCTGTGACAAACCATGATAAATTTTTAAAGAAGTATTATTATAAAATGAAGAATTGTGTATTTCTAAAGGCTATATTGCTGTAAATTTAATTGATAAAGCTCTGTTTAGAGTTTTGAAGAAATATTGTCTCTTCAATTAAGAAATTTTCATAATGGAATGATTTAAATTGAAGTGATAATGAGTATTATTAAAATAAAATTTTTATATGTGTATCTGTGTTATAGATATATCAAGTAATTTCTAATTTTTTTCACATATAAATGTGCCAGATTACCCTAGAACTAGATGCTGCTGCTTTAAATAACTTTAGTTTTTCTAAATAAATTTTTGATAGTTAAAATAACAAAGAAGAAAGGTAATAAGGAATTCTACTTAAAAAATTACATTTGAAAAAAAATTACATTTGAATTTTTCCTCTACCAAGATTAAATTAAATGTAAAATACTCCTAATTGCAACTCCTAAACATAGGCCTTACAGGTACTTATTATGCAACTGCTCCTGGACTCTATTTGCTATAAACGTCAGTGAACATATGTCCCAGGATTCACTGGCTTCTGACTAAGCAGAATCCATTCCCTTTTCAAGTTTTGTGAGAGTAGTTTAGTTCTGTTTAAAATCACTTAACAAATCTGATTTTTAAAAATTCCTTTGCAGTGTTCAGCTTCATTTTGTCCTATTCACGTTCTTAAAATTGCTTTGGTGTTATCATGAGTCTAAAATGAAGTTTACCATCTTTCTGCTTAGTCATGAGAACTTCTATATTAATTTAAAAAATTATGATATTAAATTTAAAAAATAGCTGTCTTCTCATTTGTTATCACCAATAATTCTTAAGCTAAAAATGTTGATTTTATTATACTTTTTGACCTTTTTTGCTTTATAGGGTGGGCTCAAGAATGTGGATTTCTAAGGAATTATCTTTTAAAACAAACTTAATGAAGTAACACTTGAATTACTCAAGGACTAATTTTGGTTAACGTTTATTATCTAGATACTCTACTTTCTATTTTTACTGCTTGACAGTTCACAAAAACCTTCAGCAATTTACAGGGTAAAATAGTTGAAGCAGTGGAAGTGAAACTTAAATTTTAAATTACTCTGTAAATATCGTAGGAAAAGAGGTTGAACTCGGAACTTTTTTGTTGTTCGTGTGTTCTTTGCTTATATCAATACACATCACACGCGGTCACTCAGGATTCTCGAAATAGTAAGCCTTGGTTGTAACATGCTGGGTAGATCTCAGCAGGTCTTCTTCCACTAGCACTAGACTGGTTTTTTTTTTTTAAATCAAAGAACAACTTCTTTAGAAAGAAGCACCGATAAATTGGTTAGCTGAAAGTATGAGTAACTGCTCCTTTGCATGCCCACCTCTCTTTTTCTCTCAGGTTATATTATCTGAATAATTGTTGTGTTCAAATACTATAGCCAAGGTGAGTGAGCAATTGAAGACTTCCTTTCTGCATCTTTGTACTTAAGAGTTTATCGTCTCAAAAAATTAAAGTTTTGCCGGGTTGCTTCAATTCAGTGGATTACTCAGAAACTAGGTAACAAGTCCCTGGGATCCTGGAGACCGCACTGCAGGCCTTTGCAAATGGTGGGGAGAGGTTCCATTCAAGTGACTGCCAGTGTCCTTCCTCTGCATTGAAACATTGTTGGCCAGTAATTATATTTTTCTGAATCTGAAAACACAAATAGGGACTTCTCATATCTTGTGTTCAGTCTTCTACTTTTCTTCCCATATATAATTTAAATCCCATTATTGTATAATGTTTCAAATTATGACCTTGATTGAAGGAGGTCTATTTTGTCAGAAAGTCTTTTTATTAGATGAACATCAGAATCTCAGTCACAACAAAGCTGAAAAATGAGGCAATCTTAAAAGCTTAAAAATGAGGCAATCTTGAATGCTTTTGAGATGAATGCTTTTTGGAGCTTAGAAAAGCCATTAGTTGTGTGCAATGCACCTATACTTACTCCTTTAAATAAATTTTGATTTTTTTATTGAGATGTTGGCTTCTGTCAGCCTGACTTAATTAATTCCTTACATTAAACTGATTATCCCCTGGCAGCTGACGAATAAAGTTCATTGTTTCTGTAGAAGTGAGCTCACAAGGTTAAATGTGAATGTTCTGAAAGGTATACAACATTGTTTCAGGAAGAATGCTAATGCCCACTTTAAAATCAATCATGCAGAGCCACTTTGGGGTTGCAAGGTATGACTCCTCTGAAAGCCAAGTTTTTTCATCAGGCACAATGGTAAGGCCTGCAACGCTAATTTTCAGTGTGCTGGTTGAAGAAATAAAATGTATTTAAAGAAAGATAAAGGAAGAATTAATTAGAAAATAATATTTTTTTTCACAATTGTATTAGCAAATGTTATTTTCATTTTAAGTAGTTGTTGTTAGAATCCTGCTTTGTTTCTCCCTACTCTCCTTTTGAAATATTCTCTTTTACTAAATAATATTTTAGGAGGAATTCACAGAAATAAGAGATGACTATTATCTGTGACATCTGCAGATTTAACTTTATAGCTTCTACATTGTGCACTGATTTTTTAATGGTGATATAGCATTTATTAGATGTTCAATTTACAGAATTTGAAGTCAGAGTTCTACTTTAATATATCTGCCTTGTCCCAGAAATCCCATTGAGATCAATTGAGATCCATTTTTTACATAGACTTGCAATTTTTAGACACAGTATTACTTTTTTTATGGTACCAGCATCATTTGCCTGTATGAGACTTAATTATACAGTGTTTCATAGGTGCACCAGATGTACACAGGAAATTTTCCTTTAAATATTAAGAGCCTTTAATAAACTGGGGTCAGAAGGGGAGTTCATTATAAATTACAAGCAAGTAATGGCCATAGGCAACTTGCTGTTATTTTAATATGAAACTTTTTATTTTGCCATCAGGAATAAACATTGTATGATTATTGAAATCTTTATAATGTTAACTCTTATTAAATTATTTTCATTCTGATTTTTTGCTTGTCTAAAAAAAATTGTGGTTTGTATGTCTTAAAAACTAAGTATCACTTGAATGTTTACATTTAAAAAACGACGCTTTCCAATTCAATTTCCTACATTCAATCCACATTAACTATTAGAATGTTAAACAATGAAATTATTGACATATAAAAAGTAATTGGTACTCTCTGGTTAGGCATATTTGCTGAAATGTTAATCTGAAATGGCAACATCTCCAATGACCCCATTTTGAATTTGTGGTGACACAAATGTGATTATATATATGTATATATTTTTGGCATTATCAGATAATGGAAACTATGCATGTCCAGCAAGTCCACTCCCAGTATATATCCTAGAAAAATTGGTGCACATGTGCCCTCAGAAATGTATACAAGAATGTTCATAGCAGCCATGTTTGGAACACTAAAACAAGTGCAAACTGGAATATAGTGCGATGTAAATGAGGTTAGAGTACTATAAAGCAACAACCTAGTGGAATCTTATAAACTGAAATAAAAATTGTCCAAATTTGAGCTGAGATAACTTTTTTGTATGATGTAATTCACAATCTTCTATTGGAAAAAAGAATGCTTCATCAATTATATGATAAAATGTAATAAGATTAAGACCTGTTCTGGAAAACCATACATTTATCCATATGATCATATTCACCCAGAGGATCATTTTAGTTAAAATCATTTTTAGTTAAGATGATTGGTTAGTGACTTTTAACTATTCATTTACTGTGTATCTAGTCCAACAATAACTATGTAATTAGTATTTTTTCCTATAAAATGTCCTAACCAAAAAATGAATTATTGAATTGGTCTCCTAGAGGTCTTTTCCCTTGCAGTAAATTGAAATAAAACATTGACACATGTTCTTTACTGTACTGCTCAACAAGTTGCTTTAAACAAAACAGAATGTTGAGTGAAAAAAGCAGGAACAGAGTAACAGAGTATGACTGCATTTTTGCCAATGAGAGAAATTAGATTTGTTCGTTTAGGAATCCAACATAAAGAGAAAAGGAAAGTGATAAAATGATTACCACCAAAGTCAGGTTAGTGTCTGGCCCTAATTGGCCAGAGAAGGCATTGCAGCCAGGAAGGGGCAGCGATGTGTGTGCTGACAACGTCCTAGAGTCTGGTTACCCACAAGGCCTTTGGTAAGGGCACTGCATATTCAGAACCTTTTAGCTGCAAAAAAGTTAAAAACTTTCCCCAAAATAAATAGCATAAAAGCTAAATAAAGATTCATACAAAGCGAAGAAAATAAACTGGAACAGAGCAGTTACTCCAACAAATAATGCCTCTTAGAAAGGAAAGAGCTGATAAGAAAAATGCATTGTTTCTTATTATTTTTTATTTATTTTTTCAACATATTATGGGGGTACAAATGTTAAGGTTATGTATATTGCCCTTGTCTCCCCCGCCTCGAGTCAGAGCTTCAAGCGTGTCCATCCCCCAGTTGGTGCGCATTGCATTCATTATATATGTATATACCCATGCCCCCCCACCTGCCCACACCCGATAAATATTATTCCTATATGTCCACTTAGGTGTTGATCAGTTAATACCAATTTTCTGGTGAGTATATGTGGTGCTTATTTTTCCATTCTTGGGATACTTCACTTAATAGAATGGGTTCCAGCTCTATCCAGGAAAATACAAGATGTGCCATATCACCATTTTTCTTATAGCTGAATAGTACTCCATGGTATACATATACCACATTTATTAACACTCATGTATTGATGGGCACTCCAGTTGTTTCCACATCTTTGCAATTGTGAATTGTGCTGCTCATTGTTTCTTATTAAATAAGGACTTAGCTGGGTGTGGTGGCAAGCGCTTGTAGTCCCATCCCAGCTACTCGGGAGGCTGAGGCAGGAGGTCACTTGAGCCCAGGAATTGAAGGCTGCAGTGAGCTATGATCACACCAATGCACTCCAGACTGGGCCACAGAACATGACCCCATCTCTAAATAAAAAGACAAGGCCAGGCGTGGTGGCTCATGCCTGTAATCCTAGCACTCTGGGAGGCTGAGGTGTGAGGATCGCTCTTGGTCAGGAGTTCAAGACCAGCCTGAGCAAGAGCGAGACCGTGTCTCTATTAAAAATAGAAAGGAATTAGCTGGACTACTGAAAGTATATATAAAAAATTAGCCGGGCGTGGTGGCTCATGCCTGTAGTCCCAACTACTCGGGAAGCTGAGGCAGGAGGATTGCTTGAGCCC